GTCCGCCCTGGACCCCCCCAGACCCCTGCCACAGCTTGCAGCTTCGCTCGCCGACAGCCCCCCCAAAGAAAAATCCTGGCTACGTGCCTGAGCAAAATATAGGTTTAGGGCTTTTCAGATGATTTGGCTCCTCAACAGATACCGACGTACATAACGATCAATATGTAGTTTAGGTTTACCTGGCCCGTAGGTTACGAATGTGCCCGAGGAGAAGAAAAAAAGCAAACTTAAGAAGATTTCTCGGGAACTTAAAAGTTCACCTCAAAACGAAATCTGCACCTATGGTTAGTGGTCCCCTGAACTTGTATATGGACACGTTCAAAAAAAGGTGGCACTAGAGATTGATTTTTTAAAATGCGTTTTAAAAATAGTCATTGCACTTTGTTGGTTGATATATCTATCTATACCTTTAGAAATTCGATTAAATTTCATGATCCTGAAATCACGGAGTCTCTAGTGCTTATATCACAGGAGTTATCGTTATTAGTGTGCCAATGAGTCAAAAGTCACACAATTAGAAATGCAAGATGAATCAACACTAGATAATCTGAAAAGTACTATTCACAAAGAAGCCAAAATTGATATGGTGACTATAATGCATGTAAGGAATGGAATGTCTTATCTGAAATTGTTATTGGTGCCAAAATGAGTCAAAAATCACAACTTAAACGTTGGAAATGAGCCTATTTTGAGCAGTGATTATTGAATCATCTAACGTTTTTATTGGCTTTCTATCATTTTTTAAGGTACAAAATAGTATTAAATAGTATTAAAACCAGTTAATATGATTCAAAAGTCACATTTTCGTTAAAGGTGCGCTATTAAGTCACACTATAGTAAGCCTTAAATTAAGTGCACAATATGACAATTCATATCCATTCTATGATTATTATTATGTGATTTTTGAATCCATGTCTAAGCTTATACCATATTGAAGGTCTTTGAGCGATAATTTTTGATCTGGGTGCTTAAATGATTCAAAAATCACATAAATCTAGCTACCAAATATGTAATTTTCTTTAAAGCGTGACAATTGAATCATATGAAATGTTCAAGTTGTAATGACATTTTGAAAGGAAAGGTAATGAATCGATAATCACATTTCAAAAATTCAATAAGTATTATACGTTACTGATTGATTTATTTGTCACATTATGGAGACAAAATTTGCCTGGCATTTTTCAGAATTTGGCCGCCAAATTTTTTAAAAGGCCTAACTCAAAATTCCAATACAAAACTTAAGGTCGAAATGCGATTCTACGTTGATTCTGAAAATTTCATGTAAAAATATTGAAAACCTATTGAGCGAAATCAGTTTCGCAAATATCGCGAACTGAGATATGGACGATTTTGTTCATTTTTTGCAATTATTTGAACACAGAATCCACAGTTAGGTAGATACTGAGCTGATAATCATAGAGATTGTGTAGTATAGGCTTACCTCCCATATAAAGTTAGTTTTTTAGTTTTATTCAAAAATATTGATATTTGACCAATTTATGGGCCAAAATTGATCAAATTTGGCGCGTATGCCCAAATATGGCGCTATTAAGTCACACTTTAGTAAGCCTTAAATTAAGTGCACGATATGACAATTTATATCCATTCTATGATTATTATTATGTGATTTTTGAATCCATGTCTAAGCTTATACCATATTGCAGGTCTTTGAGCGATAATTTTTGATCTGGGTGCTTAAATGATTCAAAAATCACATAAATCTAGCTACCAAATATGTAATTTTCTTTAAAGCGTGACAATTGAATCATATGTCATGTTCAAGTTGTAATGACATTTTGAAAGGAAAGGTAATGAATCGATAATCACATTTCAAAAATTCGATAAGTATTACACGTTACTGATTGATTCATTTGTCACATTATGGAGACAAAATTTGCCTGGCATTTTTCAGAATTTGGCCGCCAAATTTTTAAAAAGGCCTAACTCAAAATTCCAATACAAAACTTAAGGTCGAAATGCGATTCTACGTTGATTCTGAAAATTTCATGTAAAAATATTGAAAACCTATTGAGTTCTATTGTTTTGAGCGAAATCAGTTTCGCAAATATCGCGAACTGAGATATGGACGATTTTGTTCATTATTTGCAATTATTTGAACACAGAATCCACAGTTAGGTAGATACTGAGCTGATAATCATAGAGATTGTGTAGTATAGGCTTACCTTCCATATAAAGTTAGTTTTTTAGTTTTATTCAAAAATATTGATATTTGACCAATTTATGGGCCAAAATTGATCAAATTTGGCGCGTATGCCCAAATATGGCCATATGGTTTTTGGCTCATAACTCAGTCATTTTTTGTCCAATCTTGATGAAAATTCATATACAAGTTCAGGGGACCACTAACTACAAGTAGAGCATCTGAAATCTGGTTTTTGGGCATTTTCAGGGTATTTGGCTAAATTGGGCCTAATTTGAACCAAACATGGGCGTGGCTACCCCGCGGCACCGTTTGGCCGTTGGGGTCCGGGACCCCCTCAAAAGTTCGGTCACCGGTCCTAGTTTGTTGGTCAACTGCTATCTCGAAACCAAGTTTCACGAAAAAAAAAGGGTGAACCCCCCTCCCTTAAATAGGTAATAATTATTTTAGTCTCTTTGAGTCTTGACACCATTTTAGGGTTATACGGTTTCCTGCTAGTTCTATTAAAGCTTATTAATAGCTACACTCGGTTACTATGTTATTACATCATCCTGGTAACACGTGTTACCTTGGTAACATGAGCTGCCTTATTAATATCAACACTATCAGCAATACCTTGTTAACCTTAAGTCAAACTTGTATCCAATTTGTTAACCTTCTTCGCTTATTTTTCTATTTGCTGGGTTACTACTTTTACACTTGTTTTTTTCTTAATGTAACCAAAGCGAAAAGCTCTCCAAATTAACACTGGAATTTAGTTTTGGAGAGAAGATATCTCGAACTTATATTAATTTTATTTTCTAGTGACGATTGTTAAAAGGCAACTTTTGTAAGGTCGTTGACTTTTTAGTGAAATGGAGCAGAAAAATGTTCCATACGTTAAAGATGAGATGAAGATGGAAGAAGAAAGTTTTCCACCAGAATTGATCAAGACAGAGATTAAGAAGGAGGAAAATAATTTTGTAATCAAATCAGAAGTGTATTCGAATGGTGTTTCTCAGTTGTATTGTCCCAATCAGGAATCAGCATTAGTTCCACACCAATGGGTTCATGCCAGTGAAAATGCTTACATTCGCTCTGAATGTCCCTACAGTGCAAGCAAAAAAACAACTTTAGTTTCACATCAGCAAACTCATACCGGTGAAATACTGTTCAAATGCTCTGAATGTTCCTACAGTACTTGCAGAAAATCATCTTTGGTTTCCCACCATAGCGTTCATACTGGCACAAAACCTTTCAAATGCTTTGAATGTTCCTACAGTACAAGCCAAAAATCTAAATTGGTTAGACATCATCGGACTCATACCGGTGAAAAACCGCATAAATGCTCTGAATGTTCCTACAGTGCAAGCAATAAATCAAACCTAGTTAACCATCAGATGACTCATACCGGTGAAAAACCGTATAAATGCTCTGAATGTTCCTACAGTGCAATCAAAAAAGTAAATTTAGTTTCGCATCAGCAAACTCATAACGGTGAAAAACTGTTCAAATGCTCTAAATGTTCCTACAGTGCTTGCAGAATATCATCTTTAGTTTGCCACCAGAGCGTTCATACCGGCATAAAACCTTTCAAATGCTCTGAATGTTCCTATAGTTCAAGCCGAAGATCAGGCCTGGATCAACATAATCGGAATCGTCATACCGGTGAAAAACCGTATAAATGCTCTGAATGTTCCTACAGTGCCAGCCAAAAATCAAACTTGGTTTGCCATCAGCGGACCCATACCAGTGAAAAACCTTTCAAATGCTCTGAATGTTCCTACAGTGCAAGCCGAAAATCAGACATGGTTAGACATCAGCGGACTCATACCGGTGAAAAACCGTATAAATGCTCTGAATGTTCCTACAGTGCAAGCCAAAAATCAAACCTAGTTCACCATCAGATGACTCATACCGGTGAAAAACCGTATCAGCGGGACGGCATTGAAGAGAAATCACATTTTATTCACGAAAGCAGCCAGGCTTCGAATTACTCCCAAAACAGTAGCGTCGAGAGACCCATTTTTGTTAAGCCTCTACCTTTCGTGAAGACTCTCACATTTGTAAAGCCCCTGGATTTCGCTGACCCTGTTCTCCCTAGTTCCAGATTACTTCCCGGTTTCTTCCCCAGTGACCAACCAGAACATTACATGTCTCACCTTGCAGCTCCTCTCACCTTCTCACCTGGTCCATCTGTTGTTACACCTGCTCACCTTGCAGCTCCTCTCAAATTCTCACCTGGTCCATCTATTGTTACACCTGCTCACCTTGCAGCTCCTCTCACCTTCTCACCTGGTCAATCTGTTGTTACACCTGCTCACCTTGCAGCTCCTCTCAAATTCTCACCTGGTCCATCTATTGTTACACCTGCTCACCTTGCAGCTCCTCTCACCTTCTCACCTGGTCCATCTGTTGTTACACCTGCTCCTACTATCTCACCTACCTACTCTACAACGTTTCCTTCTCCCTCTTATATTTCCTGCCAGTACAGCGACTATGGGATGTAATAAACTAAATAAAACTGCTATTGAAATGTATATAATAGTATAATACCTTATGCTAGAAGTTGAAACCCGATAGTCTAAAGCTTTATTCGAGGAGATTTAAAAAATCAGTGTTATAATTTCACTTCATTATTTAACTCCGTACGGTAAAAGATATGGATTTTATTTGACAATGTTGTAGGTTTATAACCTACCAAGACTTCTCATTTTGATGCGTTTGTTAAAGAATCGCACAATTTTCCAAATATTTTCTGATTTTCAATTTCTTGAAATCTGTCTCATAAAACGAAAAATATGAATTTATGTTCATATATATGGTAACATGGACCTATGCCCATATATGGTAATCGTACCTTAACCAGCTGTTTCCGAATTACACCATCCGAGCAGAGAGCAAAGGTCACCTTGGGAAGGTTAACACCTCCTGGGGTCTGGTACTCTGTGTTAAATCCGACCACAGAAAGAAGGTTGGAGGAGTAGTTACCGTCACATCTCACCTGCACAATGTGTTATAAGCATGTTATAAACAGTGTTATAAGCATGTTATAAACAGTTTTATAAGCATGTTATAAACAGTGTTATAAGCATGTTATAAACAGTGTTATAAGCATGTTATAAACAGTGTTATAAGCATGTTATAAACAGTGTTATAAGCATGTTATAAACAGTGTTATAAGCATGTTATAAACAGTGTTATAAGCATGTTATAAACAGTGTTATAAGCAAGTTATAAACAGTGTTATAAGCAAGTTATAAACAGTGTTATAAGCATGTTATAAACAGTGTTATAAGCATGTTTTAAACAGTGTTATTAGCATTTTATAAACAGTGTTATAAGCATGTTATAAACAGTGTTATAAACAGTGTTATAAACAGCGTTATAAGCATGTTATAAACAGTGTTATAAACAGCGTTATAAGCATGTTATAAACAGTGTTATAAGCATGTTTTAAACAGTGTTATTAGCATTTTATAAACAGTGTTATAAGCATGTTATAAACAGTGTTATAAACAGTGTTATAAGCATGTTATAAACAGTGTTATAAGCATGTTATACACAGTGTTATAAGCAGGTTATAAACAGTGTTATAAGCATGTTATAAACAGTGTTATAAGCATGTTATAAACAGTGTTGTAAGCATGTTATAAACAGTGTTATAAGCATGTTATAAACAGTGTTATAAACATTATTTCACGTGTCAGAGCTAGGTTCCCCGAAGAACTCGGGCTGGTAAGTTAGTGTTGATAACCCGAGATTATTGGAGCACAAAGATTGAATAAATGTTAAATTTTGAAAAATAATGAATTATATTTGTTACCGGAATTTCGAGGGTTAAAAGTGGAAAACTTTCAATATCCTTGATCTTTGTTATCTTTAAAGTTGATGGTATTTTGAGAGTCGAACTTCGAGCCGCTGAATGTAAACGGTTGTTAATAAGCACTTGATCATCAGTCTCCAATCTTTAAGTTGAATTAAGATGTGATTTCACCCATGATGAGCTGTGTCTGGCTTATTGGAGTTGGATACTGCCCAAAACTATATATAATATACTATGAAAATAACTTCTTTTTACCCATCTGGTATGCAGGGTCTTTTTTCAGGTCGTAATTAGCCCATTCCACATAGGCGTCAGTCAATTTTTCCATGTCAGTAATGATTTTCTTTAGAGCAGATTCTTTCATCAGCGTTTTCAAGATATCTTTGGACTGGACTGTTCGAGCCTGAAAATTTGCGAAATATGCGGCAAATTGTATTTAATTCGATAGGTTTCTCTCAGAGATCTCCAAGGACTTGTCAATGATATGATAATTGATCCATTACATAATGTAATTTGAGTATACTTACATCGTTAGAAAGATGCTTGGAGCCCTTGATGTATTTACAGTCAAGTTGTGCGTTCTTTAGAGCAAACAAGATGGGTAGCACGTGGAAGGGGTGCTCCCTTGCTGTTTTTGTGATCAGCTGTGGAATGCAGTAATCAAATAACAATCTTGTTATTAACTCATACTGGTCAACTGTATATTGTATAATAAATAAATATGTTTCTGTCACACTGCCAACAGGCGAAATTCGCCAAAAGCTCTTTAAAAAAAACAATCGTTTGAAAAAGAAAAAAACAAGCAACCTTTATGACGAGATCGTTAAGGTTCCCGGAAGTTCCGAGTCGAGCAGCTAGTTGGTACATGGGTGGTAGTAACTTGTAGGTCGGAATCTGGGGCACCTCCTCTACTGCCATATCACAGAGCTCCTCTATATTTGCATTGTCAAATAGAAGCGAGCACAGCCTGGGGAAGGGAATGGTTAGAGAAGACAGTGAGGGGTTGGAATTTATACATTTATTGAGTTGAAATCGGACTATAGAATTCACTCTGAAAAGTTGTGTTTGTTTTTCACCAGTATTTGTGGAGTCAAATTGGTGTCGTGAAGAAGCTGCTCATATTTTTTATTTGAATGTTTTTTCGGCTAAAAATGTTACCACTCTATCGTATCATATTATCAAAAAGTAAAAAGTATAGATTGTAGAGCTAAGTTAGCTGCCTTTAGCACCACCTTGTCATTGGTAAGAGCGGAACAATTATTAATTAACCTTCGTTAGATGCTGGTTATTGTTAAGTGCGGGGTTGGAATTTATACATTTATTCATATAGAGTTGAAGTCAGACTTAAGAATTCACTCTTCAGAATCATGACTGTTATTCACCGGCGTTTGGGGAATCATAGTTGGTGCTTGGAAGATACTAATTAAATGTTTTTTTTTACCACTCTCTCGTATCATAACGTAAAAAGTTTTAGCATTACTGCTAGCTGCTGCTGTTTAGTAAGCTATTTTAGTCCCTCAGCTATAATATTGATAATGGCGATGATATTTCCCAACTCTAAGACCTAGATTGTAGAGCTAAGGCCGCTGCCTTTAGCACCACCTTGTCATTGGTAAGAGCGGAACAATTACTAATTAACCTTCGTTAGATGCTGGTTATTATTAAGTGAAGGGTTGGAATTTATACATTTATTGAGTTGAAGTCAGACTATATAATTGACTCTTCAGAATTATGACTGTTATTCACCGGCGTTTGGGGAATCATAGTTGGTGCTTGGAAATACTATTTAAATGTTTTTTTACTACTCTATCGTATCATAACGTAAAATGTTTTAGCAATACTGCTAGCTGCTGCTGTTTAGTAAACTATTTTAGTCCCTCAGCTATAATATTGATAATGGCGATGATATTTCCCAACTCTAAGACCTAGATTGTAGAGCTAAGGCAGCTGCCTTAAGCACCACCTTGTCGTTGGTAAAAGCGGCATAATTATTAATTAACCTGGGTATATTTGCACGTGCATCTTCCCTTATCAACCTGGGTATATTTGCACGTGCATCTTCCCTCTCGTCTGGAGCGGCGTCCGCACGTGCATTAATTATCAACTTTAGAAAGTAATTAAAGTTTTACCTGCGCTATATAACGTTCATCCTGTACTGTAATAACCTTAGTGGATAACTTTAAATATTCAGCTCGCGTTGTGATGACTTGAATTACATGTAAACTGTTAGAAATAGTTAGATGTCTTGATGGGGTCCGAACTCTACGGCGTGAGACTCTACGGCGGGTTAGGGTTAGGGTTAAGGTTAGGGTTAGGGTTAGAAATTCCAGCAGAGACCAGCGTAACCCTTTTTTAGTTGGACATTTTTATTTGACAAACCATTTGGCCTGGCACCGATAAATATTGCTTAAATGACTGTTATTAATAATCATCACATTATTACCGATCAAAAATTGCATGGTGTAAAAATTGTTATCTTCAGCATTCAGCATATCAAAGTGATGACTATCTTTGGAAAAGCGATAGCACGATTTCCATGCAACTGGAACGAAAGTCAGGATCAGGATATGATGTACGATCAAGTAATGAGAGAAGGGAATAACTGGGACGTTTTCCTAAACTATTTCTTCGCTCTACTGTTCATGTGTTGTCTTCTTATCGGAATAGTTATCAATCCTCTCATCATCTTTTACCACTCAAAACAAAACAGGTCATTCGCGAACATTCTATTCCTACTGATAAGCTCGATCGACCAGATAAAAAGCATCTACTTTCCCCTTGTCTTCCTCCCTAGATTACTATCACCACAGGATGATCAAGATTATTACTATATCTTTAGCCCAACCTCAATCCATTGGACTTCCTACTTGAATCATATCTTCACTGCATCGACTGGAATACAGACGGAAATGCTAATCGTCCTTTGTGTAGTTCGATATTTGGCCATAAGACGTCCTTTGACAGCAGCTACAAAACGGAACGTGGCATCTTCATCTGTTCTTCTGATAATTCTCGTTTCTAGAGTGGCATTCATATTATCAAGATATTTTCATGGACCGTTGGGCTACTCCAGAATTTCTGGTTCTGTCACCTCAATAAATATCGAATACATTACGGGCCTTATGCCACTATTAAGTTATATCGTAATTGGCTTGAAGTTTTTATTTTTGTTGATCGGGGGCTTCTTCAGTGGACTTACTATTATTCATCTCAAGAATTCGGACACAGCTGCATCAGATGCTTCAGCAAGAAATATACGGAGAGGAATCGTCGCTATTGTGGCCATGAATGTGTTCAATATTTTGGTCATCCTTTCAATTCTTGGAATGTCCATTATTATTTTTGATGTCGATAGACGTGATCCTGAAGATGTAGGACGAGTAAAGCATACTACAGCTATGGACTTTAGTATATTTACATACATTTACGGAATACCATTGATTCAATCGGCGTTCAACTCAATTTCTTTTCTGATCATCTCGAGCCCATTCAAGGTTTTTGTCAAGAAACGTTTCCCTACAAGAAGGCAAATACAACCTAGTAGAGCTGAACAACAGGAAAACGAAACAAACTTAAACACTTTAGTTGAGACAACCGCCTAATACCAACCTCATAATACCTTAAAGGGGGCCTAATACCGATGCCCAATCTTGATGAAACTTTATATACGAGTTCAGGGGACCACTAGCTACACGTAGAACACATAAATTTAAAATCAGGCTTTTGGGTATGTTAAGGTGATTTGGCCAAATTGGGCTCAAATTGATGTAAATCAAATTTATTGAGACTTAATTTTTCGGCGACTAATTAAAAATTAGACCTAAATTTTAGTAAAGCATATTTGACATGAATATTATTGTACTTACATTGAGCTTACAAATACATTGAGCTTACATTGAGCTTACAAATACATTGATCTTACATTGAGCTTACCAATACATTGAGCTTACATTGAGCTAACAAATACATTGAACTTACATTGAGCTTAAATCGCTTAGACGGGTGCTCATTGCCGAATTAATAGATATCATTTTATTTTACAAATTATTTGTTTTATTTCTTTATTGCAACAAATCATTTAATCAACATGCCTGACGTTAAAGCTTAAAGTGTGACTTTATCGGGGAAAAAAAAACTAGCTAAATAATGGAAAAAAAAACCAAATGAATTGAATGAAAAATAATGAATAATATTTGCGAAATTTGTGACTTAAATTATGGTAATCAACATTTTTGTAGCCAAATTTATTGTGAACTAAATTTATTGGCCTCAAGGTAATCTAAAAAACTTGTTGTACACCATTAATTGTTTTATGCAGTAGCGTGGGCAGACCTACGTTAATAAGACTTTTTTGAAGTATTAATTAAAATACTATAAGTAATTAAAGTAGTAACATTATAACGCAAATTATATTTAGAGAAAGGCTTAATGTTCTCGGCACGGTAAATTTATTTACGATGACTTATTTATTTCATAACTAGAACTCAGAAGCGGTGGCGTAACGAAGGACCCTGCTGACCCCGCTGTGCGGGGGGGGGGGGGGGGGGGGGAGGAGCCACTGCTCGGAAGATATAAATGTACCTGAACACGATGAGATCGTTCTCCAAACTGTAGGAGTTGAGTTTGAGGGAGGAGATGTAGTTTCTAACAGTTATTAACAGGTACTCCACCCTCTCCTCCTTTCTCTTGTCCATCTTGTTCTTGTCTTGCCGCACCTTGGTATTTTAGATAGTTACCAACAGTTACTATAGTTACCAACATTTACTATAGTTACTAGTTACCAACAGTTACTATAGTTACTAGTTACCAACAGTTACTATAGTTACCAACAGTTACTATAGTTACCAACAGTTACTATAGTTACCAGTTACCAACAGTTACTATAGTTACCAACAGTTACTATAGTTACTAGTTACCAACAGTTACTATAGTTACCAACAGTTACTATAGTTACCAACAGTTACTATAGTTACCAGTTACCAACAGTTACTATAGTTACCACTTACCAGCAGATTATTGGCACGGTATTATTGTGTGCAGGAGGAAATTCTTGGGAATGTGATATTGTACTTGTGGCAACTACAGAAAAAGCCGGTTGTAGCCGTGACCAATATTTCGTTATATATAACGAAAAAAGAAAAGAACACCCGTACACATTACCCCAACAGATTTATCGTACAGAACATTACTACTCTCTTGTCTCTATATTTCTTTACACGCCTCGCAAATTCTTCAAGTTCCTGCTATTAACAAATCCTCTCTTTGTCTACAGCGGGTAACCGACACCTCAACTTCAAAACTGGAGCCTCCTGTCGTCACACAATGAAGATGTTGACTTGCCCGGTGTAGATAAGACTGAGAACCTCCTTTATTGCTCCTTATATGGGCATCACGTGTAGATAAGACTGAGAAAGTAGATCGTATGATGACTTATATCGTGACAGTGCTAAAAATCATACCTTCAGAAGGTAGGGCGACATACAATAGCTCGTGTATAAAAGGGCAGCAGCAAGCGGTTATAATTAGTTTGATTTGGTCGAGATACAGATTGAATGCCCATGAAGCTGTCTATACTTATCCTGATCTCGTTTATGTTGCTGGTAGAGGAGATGCAAGCTCAAGGAGGCTACCAAATATGGCAGGCAGCGTACGATAATTGGGTGGAGGAGAACGGGGCCGCTGGTGACGGTGAGGTCAACACGGACTCTGCTTACGACGGGGAGGGTGGGAACAGGTAGTGACATTTCTGATTTCACAAGATCCAGCAATATTGACGAAGACGTACTCGGGTGTTTCCGGGAATGCTGGTGATTTTTTGGTAGTATATTCGTAATGATCAAACGGAAATGATTAGATGGACATTTACATTTTACAATTAAGATACGTTCGAAGGCAGCTTTAAATAATGAATTTTGTAATGATGTTGAATTTCTGATATGTTTTGAAGTTTGCTCTCCTGGCATGCAAATAATTTGCCACTTTTACTGACTCTACTTCTTGAAACAATAAACAATCAGAGGAAATCCTTCCTTGTTACAGAAAATAAATAAAACAACACCATTGTCAAAACAAAAGGAAGCACGCAACATCACGTGACTAGATAACACACCATGTGACCTATAAAAACCTGCATGTGAAACGTGCTGTATTGTTTAGGGTTTCTCTTCTTGTTACCAGTGGTTGTGATTACTGCTAGATCCTTCTCCGTTTTCTCCAGGATCGCCAACTCTGCTTTGTACTCTGAGAATGAGGGTTTATTCAGTTTTAATATATTTATTTATAGTTTGACCGAATACTGCTTCCTTGCTTGTATAATAATTAAATATAAGTAAGCAACTATCAACTTTAAAACACAGAATACACGCATTTCCAGGCTTCTCCTCAGCAGATTTAGCGGTAATTCTAGTAACTAGTACCCAGTGACCTGTACAAATATATCAATTTGTATTTGTTGCCTACCTGTTGAGTTAAAGTATTGATCCTGTATTTTGAATTGCTCGTCAGCAAATAAAGCAAGTTTGAGGTGCGCGTTACCAAGAGTAGCTTTATCAGAATCTCCTTCTTCCTGACACCACCGCACCGCCTCCTGGGAGTGGGACACAAGGTTAAACCTTCTGGGACACAAGGTTAAACCTCCTGGGACACAAGGTTAAACCTCCTGGGACACAAGGTTAAACCTCCTGGGACACAAGGTTAAACCTCCTGGGACACAAGGTTAAACCTCCTGGGACACAAGGTTAAACCTCCTGGGACACAAGGTTAAACCTCCTGGGACACAAGGTTAAACCTCCTGGGACACAAGGTTAAACCTCCTGGGACACAAGGTTAAACCTCCTGGGACACAAGGTTAAACCTCCTGGGACACAAGGTTAAACCTCCTGGGACACAAGGTTAAACCTCCTGGGACACAAGGTTAAACCTCCTGGGACACAAGGTTAAACCTCCTGGGACACAAGGTTAAACCTCCTGGGACACAAGGTTAAACCTCCTGGGACACAAGGTTAAACCTCCTGCCTGGGACACAAGGTTAAACCTCCTGGGACACAAGGTTAAACCTCCTGGGACACAAGGTTAAACCTCCTGGGACACAAGGTTAAACCTCCTGGGACACAAGGTTAAACCTCCTGGGACACAAGGTTAAACCTCCTGGGACACAAGGTTAAACCTCCTGGGACACAAGGTTAAACCTCCTGGGACACAAGGTTAAACCTCCTGGGACACAAGGTTAAACCTCCTGGGACACAAGATTAAACTTCCTGGGACACAAGGTTAAACCTCCTGGGACACAAGGTTAAACCTCCTGGGACACAAGATTAAACCTCCTGGGACACAAGATTAAACCTCCTGGGACACAAGGTTGAAAAAAAGGTCTACAAGGTTAAATGGGGAACCGCACTGCCTCCTGGGATAAATGATCGTAAAATTGGAGTTGTGTACATTATAAGGCAGAGAGAGGTGCAGTGAAGTGGGTCCTCATTGTCCCAGGGACGTGTCACGTGGGTCGTGTCACGTGGGTTCCCATTGTCTCGCACCAATATAAAAGTTAATTGCGCAACTGTTTCATTGAAGAAAATTGGTAGAACAGCACACAGTAGTTATAGCGTAGGTATAGTAATTACAGTACAGCAATTATAAAGAACGTAAGTTCTTCTTTAATTGGGGGCTTTTGATGGTTTTATCTTCCATGCGGCCAATTAGATTTTCACTTTGTTTCTACAAATCCTTGGTAATTCCTGAAATATTTGAAGGATTTCTCATTCTGTGGTTCACACCCTTTGCCATTCTCTGTGCTATTAGGTGCAATCTTTAGCACATGATGAATTATTTTATGTTAAATCTGCTATCTGTCGCAGTAATTGGATATCAAGCTCAAATATTATAAACTATTAACTATTAAATAGTTGAAGGTAAATACATAATATTACTAGATTGTCTGCAGTCTCAATGAATTTCGAAAAACCACCGCATCTTTTTTGAAACTCTGGTTAAAATCGACACTTCAAAACATCATGCTGACAGCCAATAGAAAGTTTCATAAACTATTGGAAATTTGCTATCAATACCTGCTTGCTACATTTTTTTACCATGTATATAATCTAAAATTGACGAATAGTTTGAACATTGAAGATGTCCACTTGTCCAGTTTAGTTTCTCTCGTATTAAATGAAAAAGTTGTAAGTTTTAGATAAATTTATTGTTACATTTATGAAAGAAACGAACATATGTATTATGTCAAATAATTTTTGGTACACCACATATGGAACCCATGACGGCATCCTACATACCAATACATAACTAGATCGACGTACGAAACATATATTATATACATATATGATTGTGTTTATTTCATTATGTTTATTTCAAAGCTAAACGTAGCTGTAACCTTACGCTTATACAATGTAAGTGTAACATAGATCATTGTCGTCCATGAAACTACTCGTTTGCCCACCGATCTGATTGTCTACATTGTTAAGATTCTTCTGCACACTTTCAGGAAAACTAGAGACTAGAACAACGGTCATTAGTTCTATCAGTAATCAGTACTATCACTAATTATATTGTGTCTATTTATATAATATGAGCGCGTGTATTTGTGTACTCAGTGAAGGCTTACAGCTAGGTTTTGCTTTCTAGTTAGGAAACTTAATCTAATCCGTTGATCGCAGAGTTTGACTGTGTTATTGTTTACTACGTGCTTTTATTCGTAAGCATGTATAGTGTATAGGGGGGGGGGTCCAAGGGGAACTTTGGGGAGTTTTGGGGAACTTTTTTTTGGGGAACTTCAGGAAACCTGGGGGACTTTCCCAAAGTTCCCCAAAAAATTATCAATGAAACAAATAATTTTGGGGAATTTTGGGGAACTTTTTTTTGGGGAACTTCAGAAAGTTCCCCAAAATTCCCCAAAGTTCCCCAAAAAAATTATAATGCCAAACAAATTATCATGCTGCAAGTATCAACAAGTAAGTTAAGATTATACCTTATAATAACATACATGTTAACATTAATGGGTATTAATGTATATTAGAGAAATTTTGAATAATTTTGAATAATTTTAAATAATTTTGAATAAATTTGGGGAATTTTGGGGAACTTTGGGGAGTTTTTTTTTGGGGAACTTCAGAAATCTTGGGGGACTTTCCCAAAGTTCCCCAAAGTTCCCCTTGGACCCCCCCCCCTGTATAACTATATAATGCATGTGTTTGTATGTCTAACGTTAGTATATTATTGGAGTTATTTTCATCACTGAATTCGCTGGATTTGCTCCAAATGATATTATTTTTGGAACTTATACACACATTACAGATCATATAAATCAGTTCTTAGTCTTTACTTGGGATGAAATGAGATCCTATTATTTTAAAAATGTTGTATGTTTTGCCAGTATTTTCGTTCCTCCTCTCTCTTTGATTTTGAAACTAAAGATGAGTATAAGGCACACACTGCGGCTGCACGACGGCCAGGCCCCCTCATTATTCGGGGTCCCACGGAGATCAGATCATGACACCAATTAGTGACGTATGATTAGTGATGTGATCCATCAGTAGAATTTAATTGACCTAGAAATGGGCTAGATACAGAGTAGAGTTCACATGTCGACTCTGTTCACATAATATTATTAGTTAAATTGTGTTAATACTTTACCATACTACACGTAATAAAACAAATAAACCCTGTTTACAATGAGATAACATCACATGATCGAATCACGTGTTTTGATAACAAAGCTAGAGACTAAGGGGTATGGAGCACACTGCTTTTCATGTGTTTTATAGACTGACCATTAGTTCTTTTACACAGATTGTACTACTAGTCTTAACTATAATTATAAAGATTATCTTTTGTGGGGACCGAGGGCTCGTCGTCCGAGTATAAAGCTGACACTCCTGATCACTACGTTCATAGAAATATTTCCTTTACCCTCATGAGATGTTGTCTGTATATATTGTCTTAACAATTGATCAATGTTCTCATTGTTCCAAATCTCATGATTCAATTTCACTTAACAAATTAACTCCTAACTAACCTTATGCCTAACTTACCTTATGCCTAACACGCATTTCACATTATTTTATTTCCTCATCTTTGCCTTTGTTGATTGTTCATCTTCTCGCACAATTCCTTAAGTCGGTGAGTCATCGTCATGTGAATGTTTGCATAATGATCATTATGATCATTATGAGCCTAACATATTTTTTCCGGTTTACTTGCTACACGTTGCGATCAAAAGGGTGTGTCAACGATTTACTTTACTGAAGCCCGTACCCGTTAGTAGTACCTACCTCTCGATATACGATTTTGGAATCGAAGCTTCCCCCTTGTAATGCGACCACTTATGTGATATACGAGTCAAGCGGTCAGATCTTAAAGATCATGTTTACTTCTTAATGCAATGCCATGATGTACAGAGTTGACATGTGAACTCTACCCTGTATCTAGCCCATTTTTAGGTCAGTTAAATTCTACTGATGGATCACATCACTAATTATACGTCACTAATTGGTGATATGATCTGATCTACGTGGGACCCCTAATAATAAGGGGGCCTGGTCGTCGGCCTCTCCACACTGCACACATGGTAAATTTTAATTACGTATATTGCGCTCAATTTTACCTATTTTATCGGACTTTTTTTGAAAGGACATTAATTGGACGCTGGAGGCCCTAGCGTTCATTTTATATTGGTGGACAGATATTAGGAATATCATCAAAAGCTAGGCGGAAAGAAAGCTCTGTTAAACTTCATTTTTCGAAATATTTATCCGTCACATCTCTTCTAGATTATCCAAACATGACGATATCCGAAGCACCCGAGGTTTTGGAAGAAATCTGCTACACATTTATAATCCAGACTGGATCCAACATTCCATCCAAAACCAAGACGCAGAAGTGGAGTGACGGGACCATGATCCTAAACATCAACCCTGGGTCAGACAACCAATCCCCTCCTATCAAGGTAAAAGAATGCTTCCCCATGGAGACCGAAGGAGCGGTGACAGTAGATTTTTGGCTTCCTGCCACAGTCGGAGTCCCCAAGCTTCTGAAGGTGGACCTGGAATCCAACAAGTTGGAGATAATAAAAGACGCGCTATTTGTGCGGCAGATCACAGTCACGTACAACAGACACCCATACCGGTTTCCTATAAAGAACTATGTGTACCCACACAATCCTATGAGAGGGAATCCAACTGTAGCTGAGATGGGGTGCCCGCCCCATTTTCTAGTTAGAGAGGGAGCTGGAACTCTTAAACACCTTGAAACGGAGGAGTTCATTATAAACGCAAGAGAGGAGGACCTGGAGACGATACAGTCAATGGTTGATTGGTATCATCCTAAAAAGGCTCGGCCAGGATTCCTGCTCCCAGGATTCTTTGGGACGATGAACTATTCAAAGTTGCCTCGCTTCTTACAGTTCAGGGAGGCGCAAATGGAGGCGTTCGAGGAATTGAGAAAACCAGTGAGGGAAGAAGTGAGAAATAATGTTGTACATAACATGAAAGATAAGCTTCTGGGCACCTATAAAGAGGAATGGTTTCCTTCATTTGAGCATTACGCTGAATTCGTGAAGGAAACGGCCGCTGGGATGGGATGGGCAAAGGAAACTGTATTCGAGACGATGAAACTCGCTAAGATATTTCGATCTGACGAGGAATTCGGAAGACAAATGTTAGTGAGTCCTAATGGACTCCAGATAAGAAAAGTCACATCATTAGATAAGCGGTGGGCTGACAGAACTGTTCCTGAATATGCGCTGGAAGGGAAATCTGTGCAGGAGGTTATAGAAGAGGGTCACTTGTTCGAAATTTTGAACGATGACCTGTTGGGGGTACCTCATGGTGGGTCAAGAAGCAAGGAATTGACAGGAACCAAGCAAACATGGTATGTTGTGCTCGCAGATTGTCTTTTCTATCAGACAAGCGAAGGGAAGATAGTGCCAGTCCTGATTCGTCTTGAAAACAGGAATGACAAGGAACCAGCTACTTTCTGGGCACCTCCTAGCCCTGAAATAACCGACTTGGAGCATCCAAAACATCTTTCCTGGCTCTACGCCAAAATGTGGTTTCGATGTGCTGATGCTAACGTTCAGACTTTCAGCAAACACTTCGCCCGAGCACATGCCACCAATGAGATGTTTGCTGTTGCGATTTATCGGAATTTACCCAATGCTCACCCAATGTTCCGGTTACTTCAGCCCCACATCCAGGGAATAATCCCCATCAACGTGCAAGCGAGGAACGTCCTGATAAACCCAGGCAAGAACGTGGTATCCATGTATCTGTCAGGTGGGGATGGGTTAGCGGTGGTTCTCACCAACTATTACAAACGGTTCACTTACCAGAACCTTGTGCTGCCTGATGAAATCAAAAGCAGGGGCGTGGAGGATATTCCTGATTATCTCTTTAGGGATGATATTCTCTATTATTGGGAAGTAATCGGTAATTATACAAGGAAAATGGTTGATCTTGCGTATCCCAGTGAAGAGGATGTTGCCAAAGATTCTGAGCTGCAAAATGTTTTCAAAGACGTGGTTGACTTTGGATTGCGCGGATTTGAAGATGGTGCTGGATTCCCAAAGGTGATATCGGGCAAAGAAAAGCTGATAGAATACCTGACCGCCATCATCATCAACATTTCTGTTTTCCACTCAGCCGTCAACTTCCAAACCTTCACGAGCTACGCCTTCACCCCTAATGCTCCGACCTACCTTTCTTCTCCTCCACCGAAACAAGACCAGCAGATTACAAAGGAGGAGATATTGAAATCGTTGCCGGTGAAAGAAGTCTCCTTCATAACCATGGCAGTGTGTCTAGTGCTGGGCAGTTACTCTCCCATAGAGAGGCTTTACCTGGGTTCACCCTCCGAGAACAAGCTGGGGATATTCGGAGAGAACATGGCGGTAGCTCCTGAACAGGAAGACTTTATTCACGAGCTGGTGGAGGATATGCGGCGTCTCAAACGCAAGATTGATGCTCGGAATGTTGGACGGTATTTGAAGTACGATGTGATGAGTCCGGTCAACACTCCAATAACAACTCAAATATAGCAGGATATCTTGTAAATATGATTAGATAAGAGTGACTAGAATGATAGAAAGACATCTTTTTAATTACAATTATAATGCGATGAGAGTTACTTGTGGTATTCAAGTAGTGCTTTGACTAGTACTTAGTAGTGAGTGTAAATTTGTTCACGTGATTTCTGTTGTCCACATTAACGTTTTTAAGCTGAGACTTTCATGTTTTTAATGTTTTATGTTATGCTTTAATTTTGTTTATTGCACTGTTTCAGACCCTTAAATTTTCAAATTTGCGTGAATCAAAATGATTGCTCTGTGAGTGTTTTGTTTGTTTTCACATCCTATTTGAGCTGCTCATAAAAATAAGAAGCAAACCTTATAATGTAACGTATTACATATTATGTGCTATCAGATGTTTTAAAAGTCAAAACTAGGTGAAAAGAAACCAACAAACCTCAAGGTATTTGCCCATGATATCACTTGGAAACTCAGTATTGGTTTCCGTCAGCCAGTCAGCCTTGGTTATGAGAAGCTCGTGTCTGTTAGGTATGATTCCAGCACTGCTCTTACTATCGAGGAGGGTGTTGAGATGCCGCAGTGCGACACGGCGCTCCCCTGCCGCCCACTCTAGTTTACACTGTTCACTCTGTAGAACTAGACTCTGTTGGGCGGACAGGTCTTCCGCCATTCCTGCAGTGGATACGTATTTAGTCATTAGTGTTGTTGTGATATTATATTAAAAACCTCGATTAGAAAATTAGAAAATTAGAAAATTATCAACTTATCATTAACCGAAATTCGCAGAATCCTTCTATATTCTATAAAAAGGGGCATATAGCTATGATCTTACCTTGTCTGAGGTAGCGAGTTGCGGGGTAGAACTCACAGCTGCGCCGCGCAGCACGTGCACAATCCAGCAACACGTTAACATTGTTATCTCCTGTAACTCCAGTCAGAACTGATCTGCACTTGTACAGGACCTCCCACTTCGAGTAGTCAAAACTCGACCTCATTGGCCTAGAGATTTTACTCGTGAAAAACCGGGTTTTAAATAGTTTAACATTTTGAAGAGAGATCTTTCATATTCAATCTCCATATTATTTTGATTGATTGATGGTGCCAAATTCCAAAATCTAAGCAAACAATCTATAAATATCAAAATGAGTTGTTACCTAGTTTGCTTGTTGATAGCACTAGAGATCTCGTTGAGCAGCTGAATAAAGACAAAGTGATCATGAGGGTTGAGGTCTCTGCTATCTCTCTGGGCTCTCTCCACGTGCAATGCTGCCTGAAAGTGAATGAAATCGAAACTTTGTTTTGTCAAAATTGTTAGCAAATGAATGGTGTTTGCAATGAAGTCCAGGTAGCCAGTCTTTATCTGTGTAACAGACACAATTAATCCAGAAATCAGTTTTTCTATTTTGCGGCTTCAGAAACTATTTTGCGGCTCCAGAAACTTGGTGACCTTGTGTTCCTGGAAGTAAAATAAAAACCACAAAACCAACTAACCGTCTCCAAAGACTGAGTCTTGAGTCCGAGCAGGGAACTGTAGATGTTACCATGGAGACCGTGTTCCGTTGTCAGGGTGAGGTCCCACACAGAGTTTCTCCACGCAGACTCGTAGTGATCCTCAGTAACCTGCCAGATGGAAGTAAGTTTAATACTCCAATAATTATAGAGTATTATTTCCAAGAATGTAAAAACTGTGTATAAGAATATCACACAAGAGGGCGTGGCCAAAAAGGCGAAATTTTTGGGCTCCCAAGTTCTCCCAAGTTGTGTGTATAAGCTACATGCCGGGTCCTTAGCATAGGATCACACAGTCCAATGGCATGAGGTACACGAAATACCTTACAAGACATTTTTATAACGTACGAAATGCGACGGTTTTCCCGAAATTTCGCCATATTTTCGGACCGCCAAAATTTCGGTCGTCGTAATAGAATCCGTCGCATTATTTTTAGCTTATTCCAATAATTGTGGCTTCATCGATTCATTTTGTTCTTGAAAAGTTAGTGATATGATGGTGGGACAAATAAACACAATATTCCTTGATGAATTTAATGTCAAGTAATACGTTTTAAATTTACAATAAATTACATTTATGTGCTAACATAAACGTCTTATAAGAGACTAAGTCAAGATAAACAATTTAATACCAAACTCAATAAGTGAAACTGAAAGAGTCGAGCCGGACCCCTTAGAGGAAGATGAAGAAATCGATTTATAAGTTTCATTTTGTTTCAACATGATTTTACCGATTTTTAGAAAAGTTTGAATTTCCTTTAGCTTTGTGTCAGAAAACAAAATGATGAAAAATACCCTTATTTTCTGTGACGTCCGAAATGTGACAAAAATGTCTTGTAAGGTAGGAAATTTCAAAACTTTTAGGATACATTTTCTAATTTTCTGACACCTAGCGACCAGCAGTCGGAAATTTAAAACTTTTCAGTAAAATTGTAATTCTCCTGTTTGCCACTCGGTTCGGTCTGGCAAACTGGAAAATGGATATCCGACCGTTTTCGGTCACGGTACTAGTTGCGGATTAATTAGTCACGTGGTCATTACAGCATACTCTATAATCTATATCTATAAAACAGGCGCCACGACAGCCCCTCCCCGGTCTCTAACTTACAATGGAGTCTGAGGTCAGCTAAGCAACAACTTGTAGGGACCAATTGTCTCGATCAGCTCCCATTAAGAGTAAATCTTACATTGTTGAACAGCATGAGCATTTCAATACGTTCTCAAGTACGTAAAGGATCGTCGCTTGAGATCGGGATTTCAAAAGATAATAAAGAAAGGGAACTAAGCTTTTGTGTCATGTTAATGGCCTACTCGCACGAGATAAGAATAGCACAAGATAAGAATAGCACGAGATAAGAATAGCTCGTAATCATGCTATTTGACACCTTTGAGTCTTACCACAGCCCACAGCTTTTCTTGCAAGATATTCGTTGTTGTGATATTCGCGAGATATTCGTTGTTGTGTTAACGCGCAACTCTTGACTAACGATTACTACTGGTTACTACTCTGATTTCTCTTGTACAAAACAACCTATTGAAAAGTAGGACTGTTATATGAGATGTGTTTTAATAACGAGGCACTGATTAGGAGTACGGCTGAGGACATCCTTAACAGGAAGATGAACAGACGACCAATCACAAGACGACAGTGTACATAGGTGCAGATTTCGTTTTGAGGTGAACTTTTAAGTTCCCGAGAAATTTTCTTAAGTTTGCTTTTTTTTCCTCCTCGGGCACATTCGTAACCTACAGGCCAGGTAAACCTAAACTACATATTATATTGACCGTTATGTACGTCGGTATCTGTTGAGGAGCCAAATCATCTGAAAAGCTCTAAACCTATATTTTGCTCAGGCACGTAGCCAGGATTTTTCTTTGGGGGGGGGGGGGGGGGGGGGGGGGGCTGTCGGCGAGCGAAGCTGCAAGCTGTGGCAGGGGACTGGGGGCGCGGACCCCATTGGCGGGGGCTAGGGGGGCGCAGCCCCCCGGAAAAATTTTGCGAAATAGGGTGTTTTAGGCTAAATTGAAAGTTTAATGAATTTACAAAAATGTATGGTTTGGCATAATCATTGCCTACAATCCTGACCTGAGTAATTTACCCCTTTGAGACTTTATTTTGGGTTGAAAATTGAGTTTATCGAGAGGAAGTGAAAAATCTCTGGTTCAAATTTGGATTTGAAGCCATGTTTAATTTTTTCTGTTGAGGTCAATTTTTTGCGCAGAAAGCGTTCGATTTTAGGGAAAAAAATTTTGCTTTTAATTTTTATGGTACCGACGGCACCTGAAATCGACGAAATCTGCAGGGGTGACAGTTTATTACTCATAGCATCTCTCCAACCCTTTCTCAGTTCTTAACCAACTCTCTCTTGCTTCAACAGCTTCGAAGCTCCTGGAGGAATACATCAACGGAGACACAGTTCATCATTATTGAAATTACACCTACATACTACGTAGTTGTTATCTTGGGAGTAATAAGCGCTAGCTTATCTCAAGAAACTACATAAATAATAACATTATTGCTGATACTGCACCTACATTGCTCACCAGATAAACTGATCAAAACTCCAGTTCAGCGCTGCTCAGTCTGTAAGTCCTCGTAAGATTTAGGATTTATTTTTTGTTGGAAATATTTAGTTTGTATGACTCAGTTCCAAGTTAATGTACATTATCCACCTCCTTTATTAACTGTGAAACGGTTTATCTAACTATCTAAAGTCTAAACGTGTTATTTTATGTAGTCGACCACTGTTTATAGTCATTACTGAAATACTCCAGCATCTAATTTTAACTATCAGCTGTTATTTAACGGGATTTATTGGATAAGAATATCGTTAGAACTTAAAAAAGCTAACTGAACTAAATTAAACTAAATACTTCTTTCAGAACGATCAACGTGGATACTAGTAGTACGTGGCGTACCCCCGGAAATTCCCATCCCACTAGAATCTACCCCACTGAAGATTTTCTTCAACGATTAGAACGATTCCTCTGCCCCAATTGTTCCCTCATGAGGAATCGAGTCCACGAGCACTGGTTACTGTGTTGCAATCCTGTGTTGACAGCTTAAAGATTCACCAGATACACTGTGCTCTACACAGCTGATGAGTGATGAACATGGAGGAGTTCTGTTACACGGACTGGAGCAGGGGTAGATTACAGTATGGAGGGTATAGTAAAGAGGGGGGGGGGGGTGTACTGACTCTCTAAAACGTACCGGAGATTGAGAGGAGAGGAGGGTGGGCAGCAGTATGGAGGGTGTAGTGTGTTTCACAGCAGTCAGCAGATGTGTCCTGTCTCCAGTTAGGTCACTGAAAGTTATTAGATCGTACCATCGGTGTTGGTAGGAGTAAATCTTTAGTTTAGAGGACTCAGTGTTGCACTGCGTACCTGGGGGAGTCTCGGGGTTATTAATTAATTAATTAATTAGGTAGTCACTTTGAACTTGAAGTTTGGCTGAAAACTAAAAACTATGCATCACAATGCTTTAAGTGCGATAAATTATAAAGCTGATTGATTCTGCTGGATTTTGGTATTTACTATATTCCCAACTAAACGTAAATAATGAAATGATATCATATTTAACAATAAAAACATTGCATATTTTATTTTGTTAATCACAAACCATAAATAGCGTCGCTACACTTCAGATTTAGGTAAATCTCCAGCAGTAATTCCTGAGTATCGGCGTTTGAAGAGAGGCCCTGAGATCTGGTCAGCTGCTTTGCATCGTCCAGTCTACAAAATAAAATATAGTGTTAACTAAATTTGATCGGAAAATCAAGACAATTTCAGCTGTTTCCTCAGAAAAAATCACTAATAGGATAACTTTGATAAGCAGCTAGGTTGTTCTCACTAGTCACCATCCAACAGCTTTTAAAACAGTGTGACTGATGATTATAGTTCACAAGAAAGGAGCGGTGGAATTAAGTTACTATGTTCATCTGTTTCCTCAGAAAAAACGACTTACTAAAAGGATAACTTGATAAGCAGCTATCATAACTGGTCACCCAACCATTCAACAGTGGTTCACAAAAAATCTCATAATGATTATAATGTTCTACTTTATTATTTAATCACAAGTATAGACATGTTAAAAGACTTACTCCTCCACGTGTAGTTCCAGATAGAGAAGAGCACTGGTGTACTGGCACAGCTTAATAGCTGCTTTACACATATCCAACCAGTCTAGTTCCAGCCATGAGAAGTTATTGTACCGGACCCTGGTGAAGATATGTTGAGATGCTATCTTAAATAGATCAGTAAATTAGTCGGATATCATGACTCCAATATCAGTGCAAAGAAATGGTGTTTAGTTTTAAATCCTGGATGAAACCAAAAATATTTCAAAGCAAAGATAGCCAGTCAACTGTCAATATTCAATAATATATAAAACTGTATGTACTATTGTACCCTGATTTATCGATGGGTTTGTTGGAAAGGAACTGTGTACTCTGAAGATGTTTAATACGGGGGTGTTCCACTACTTCTCCCATAAAAAGAGAAGATAGCAGGGGTTTGTAGTCGGGGAATGAGGAGATCAGATCGTGTAGTACCGGTCCTAGCACTTTCTCTAGTAACTCCGGCTAAGGAACATTGTGCAGTTAGAATGTAGTTAATAGTTAGGGACAGAGGAATTTAATTCTCCCTTTGAATCAATCAAGCTAGATGATTTGTTGTAAATACTGAGATCAAACTATCAATTTACAGGCTATCGTCAAACATGTTGCAAGGCGTCATCTTCAGTGACATAAGCCTAAAAATTGTAAAAAGTTAGTAAAACCCAAAATTCCTTTAAAAATCTGAACACTCTTAAAACGGTTATAATAATAGTTCGGGAATGTAATTTAACATTTTATCGTTCTTCACATTCTTTAATAAAACTTCTATAAATAGGTATCAGTTGATGGAAGTCAGGTAGAAAGGGGGAGGAAAGCCGCAAGGGCCAGGGGGTTTAGAAAGTTAATAATTACATAAAATTGAGGACGAGTGAATGTGAAGTTGGAGGTTATTTTCAGTGCAACTTTGCTAAAAATTGGACCGTGAGACATGTGCGAATTGTTATTTGTGACGTCACATCTACACAAAATAATGTTATTGTCCGAGTTGAATAACTTGAATGAACTTGGAATGTAATCCACTCATCAAGAGGAATAGTATGTGTTTACACACGTTATTAATTTACAAACCTCATTAAGTTACAGGATAAAGGACATACTACATTAATTTAGTCTGCGTGATGAGAGTGTACCGATATATTATTATGTTCACAATCTACTGGTGATTTCACTGTTTTCTGTTGTTTATGCCCCATTTTGTAAATTAACAATTATACATATTTTCTTGATAATCTAAATGTCATTAATCGCCTGCACTTAAGTGATAACTTGAAATGCAGATCATAAAGTTTTTATCATAATTTTGTTCTTGAAAAATCATGTTGCTGTAAATAGAGTAAATATCGTTATTTAAAATTAGAACACTTTCCAGTATAAACGAATGAACAGGATGGCTCCGCTAGTTACTTGTATTCAAGTACCAATGAACTTTGGGTTGGAATATCTCATCTCCCCATCCCATGGCAACCTGAAGTTTCTTTTGAAAGATGAAGTACGTCTTGCAAACTCAGCAATTATGTCCTTCAATAGTCCTATTATTAAAAAGATAACAGTAGAACTTTTTCAGACAGAAATTGAAGTTAAAGAATTCTCTGAAAGCGCAGTACAATGTTTCCTAGAAGCCTCATATTCTGGTACTTTGAAAGATATCTCAAAACTCAACTTCAGAGATCTCAACAAAATAGTCCATGCTTTTGAGGTAAACTGGTTGATAGAAAAGTGCTTTGAGTACTTTCAGGAATTGACGGAGTCCGTAAGAGAGGATAATTTTGACGAGCAGTTATTCTTATTTGATGAAGCCATGTATACTCAGGAGAAATTGAAAAAGAGAACTTTCATAGATTTGGTTATCAAGAAATTTACATCTTTTGCAAACTGCACACAGTATTTTGTGACAAAATACCTCAGCGATTTCTCATCCTGTTCTACAAAGAATCTTGATGTGATAATGGAACTTACTGATGATCAGGAGCATGTTCTTGTGGAAGCTCTTATCAACAACTTGGAAAGGACTGAAAATATTCTTGGTCAGACCAGCAGATGCATACTCCAGAGGTTGACCTATAAAGATTGTTCTTCTACTTACGAGACTGTCTATCAACGACTGTTCGAGAAGCTGGCAGAACTGGAAACCCCGACAACTGAGGACTTCAGGTTAATTATGAGGGCTCTCCAACAATACAATAAAGCCCAGAAGGAAATAAAAGATTCCACTTCATCATTCGCAGCTCTGTCAAACTTGTTTCTTGATTATCAGCAGCACAAGAACATAAACGATCTTGATGAGCTGACAACCTTTTTGATAGAATCTCCAATGGTTAGAAACAGCTACATTTTCTTTGATGCTGTTCTTAATTGGCTTTGTGAGAAAAGAATTGATATAAGTACACCTTTCGTATCCATCAGAGACGAACTTATTGAAAAATTCGCTCATACAATGCAGAGCAGAGGATGGAAACCTCTAGAGCTCGTATACATGAAGCAAAAACATGGACTATACCTTGGTGGCCTGGTTGATAAAATACAAAATAAAGCCAGCATGGTATCTGAAAACTGCTCAAATCGCATACCATCTAAATCTGAATACTCTCCAGAAGAACTATTTGCACGAGATCATGACATCAAGTTTAGATTCAAACAGGCCTCTATAACAAACTGCAGCAAGGAAGGGGATTGTGGGTTTATACTGCGAGTAACAGCTGCAACAGGGAAAAACGATGATTCGTTTAACATACAACTAGTTACAGTTCCTAACCTATATCCTGATGATATACATTTTCACAGAGAATCCCACATGCTAGCTGATAATATTCACTTTACTATTGATATTACCTTAGACGGCACAACCTATCCTAGCAAGCAGATAACGTGGCATGGTAGACCTTGTCTAGATATAACTGACAAATACTGGCATTGGGACAGACGTTGTTTCTGGAAACATGGAGAAACAACCCGGTCTGAGAGTATGGGAGATCCCTTCAAGTGGGAATACTGTTACGGTTCAGCTGTAAAGATAAGACCTGTCGTGTACATTGTATAAGCTGGGGTAATGAGAAGATTCTAGCTAGAAAGTGCTCTGTAACTCTTATAGATGGTAATGATAAGAACAGTTGAAATTCAACTGAAATTCAACTGTTCAACTGAGTTGAATGTTCTGTTTTCAAATATATCATACATCGGGACAGTAATTTCTTTATTTTCATGTTTAAATGTAATTTAAATATTTACGTTAAAAACTGTTATATTAGTTTGATCGCAAAGTTTTCTTTAAACGTTTGATTTTCTAGATTAAAATTAACTTATCGTGTATTATGAGGCATATTAAGTATAGAATTTGTATCTTATCAGACTGTAATATTTTTTTAATGTAAGATAAAAACTTTTGTTATAAAATGAATTTCGTAACCTTTGTGATGAAGAAAATTAGAGAAAGCTGAATACAGCAAGAAGTGCAGCCCTATGTAAGTATGTATTGGGGAAAGACTAAATACCAACGCCAATATAAGCCAATATAAGGGACCCACCCAGTAACTACCACGGTAAGCAGTGTTTTCAGCAATATACCCAGTTATCTGAGTTAAAAACACGCTCTTAAGATCTTATCTAAATCACTATAAATAGGACCTGGGAGGTGGAATTTGATATTTGATATTACAGCCAAGCTGTTATGTGAGATAAATATTTTTTAAATGTTTCGCATTGTTGAGCCCCTGTCATGAAATGTAACACAACGGAAATGTGATTGGCGACTGGCTGGTTTTAAGGTTTAATTTAAGGGATTTTAATTAATTGTAACATTAAAATGAAGACGAGTGAAAGTAAATGGAAGTCTGAGGTTATTTTCAGTGTGACTCGGTTATAAATTGAATCATGGCGCTTGTGCGACTTGTTATTTGAAACGTAAAATGGTGACCTAACCTCATAAACCTGATAAGGAGCCCACAGCACTGATTTAATTTGCGTGATGATAGTGTACCGAAATATTATGTTTGAAATCAAGTGATGGTTTCCTTGTTTTATGTTGTTTTCGTACCATTTTTCACCCGTATAAGATTTTGTGAGGATTTTCTAAACGTCAATAATCGCCTGCACTTAAGATGTGATGCAGATAACGTTTCTCTAACCACAAGCCAGCTATTTTATTGTAAGGTTTTGAAACTGGGCAAATTCTGATTTAAGACTGTTTGTTGCTTATAATAGAGTAAATATCGTTATCTTAAATTTGAACACTTTCCAGTATAAACGAATGAACAGGATGGTATCGCTAGTTCCTTGTATTCAAGTACCAATGAACTTTGGGTTGGAATATCTCGGCTCCGCCTCCCATGACAACCTGAAGTTTCTTTTGAAAGATGAAGCTCTTCTTGCAAACTCAGCAATAATGTCCTTCAATAGCTCTATTATTAAAAAAATAACAGTAGAACTTAATCAAACAGAAATTGAAGTTAAAGAATTCTCTAAAAGCGCAGTACAATGTTTCCTAGAAGGCTCATATTCTGGTACTTTGAAAGATATCTCAAAACTCAACTTCAGAGATCTCAACAAAATAGTCCACGTTTTTTAGGTTAACTGGTTGATAGAAAGGTGTTTTGAATACTTTCAAGAATTGACAGAGTCCATAAGAGAGGATAATTTTGACGAGCAGTTATTCTTGTTTGATGAGGCCATGTATACTCTGGAGAAATTGAAAAAGAGAACTTTCATAGATGTGGTAATCAAGAAATTTACATCCTCTGCAATCTGCACACAGTATTTTGTGATAAAATACCTCAGCGATTTCTCATCCTGTTCTGCAAAGTATCTTGATGTGATAATGGAACTTATTCCTAATCAGGAGCATGTTCTTGTGGAAGCTCTTATCAACAACTTGGAAAGAACTGACAATACTCTTGGTCAAACCAGCAGATGCATACTCCAGAGGTTGACCTATAAAGATTGCTATTCTACTTACGAGACTGTCTATCAACGACTGTTCGAGAAGCTGGCAGAACTGAAAACTCCCACAACTGAGCACTTCAGGCTCGTCGTGAGGGCTCTCCAACAATATAATAAAGCCCTGATGCAGAAGGAAATTAAAGATACCATGTCAGACGCAGCTTTGCCAAACTTGTTTGTTGATTTTCAGCAGCTCAATAACATAAACGATCTTGATGAGCTGACAACCTTTTTGATACAGTCTCCAATGGTTAGAAACAGCTACATTTTCTTTGATGCTGTTTATAATTGGCTTTTTGAGAAAAGGATTGATATAAATGCACCTTTTGTATCCATCAGGGACGAATTTATTGAAAAATTCGCTCATACAATGCAGAGCAGAGGATGGAAACCTCTAGAACTCGCATACATGAGGCAAAAAAATGGACTATTCCTTGGTGGCCTGATTGATAAAATACAAAGGAAAGCCAGCATGGTATCTCAAAAATGTTCCAATCGGATACCATCCATATCTAAATACTCTCCAGAAGAACTATTTGCACGAGATCACGAAATCAAGTTTAAATTCCATCAGGGCTCTATAACAAACTGCAGCAAGGAAGGGGATTGTGGGTTTATACTGCGAGTAACAGCTGCAACAGGGGAAAACGATGATTCCTTTAACATACAACTAGTTACAGATCCTAACCTCTACCCTGATGATATACATTTTCACAGAGAATCCCACATGCTAGCTGATAATATTCACTTTACTCTTGACATTACCTTAGACTGCACAATCTACTGCACCCAGCCGATAACGTGGCATGGTAGACCTTGTCAAGATATAACTGACAAATACTGGCATTGGGGATCACTTTGTTTCTGGAAACAAAGGGAAACAACCCTGTCTGAGAGTATGGGAGATCCCTTGAAGTGGGAATACTGTTACGGTTCAGCTGTAAAGATAAGACCTGTCGTGTTCATTGTATAAGCTGGGGTTATCAGAAGATTCTAGCTAGAAAGTGCTCTGTAACACTTATAGATGGTAATGATAAGAACAGTGGAATGTTGAACTGTTTTCAAATACATCATACATCGGGATAGTAATTTCTTTATTTTCATGTTTAAATGTAATTTAAAATATTTACGCTAAAAACCGTTAGTTTGATCGCAAAGTTTTCTTTAAAAGTTTGATTTTCTAGATTAAAAAATTAACTTATCGTGTTATATGAGACATATTAAGTCTAAAATTTGTATCTTATCAGACTGTAATATTTTGTTAATGTAAGATAAACACTTTCATTTAAAAACAAATTTCGTAACCTCTCGTGACGACAAAAAATTAGAGAAAGCTGAATACAGCAAGAAGTGCAGCCCTATGTAAGTATGTATTGGAAAAAGACTACATACCAACGCCAATATAAGCCAATAAAATATAAGCAAATATAACTATATAACTATATAACCCAGTAACTACCACGGTAAGCAGTGTTTTCAGCAATATACCCAGTTATCTGAGTTAAAAACACGCTCTTAACTTTTTAAGATCTAAATCACTATAAATAGGTGTCCCGGAATTTGATGATACAATAATCAAGCTGTTATGTAAATTAGATGAAATTGTTGATAAACCGATAAAGTATCTTAAAGTACTTAAACTTACCCCAAAAGATTTCCAAGTACCTTACTGAAGTTAAATTGGCAAAAAAATTCCATCAGTCAACCCCCCCCCCCCCCCCCCCCCCCCCCCCATTATATGCTAAATAATTGTATTCAGTTTATTGCATTAATTACCCTAAGTGTAGCGAGAGGCAGCAGATATCTGAGCACATCACAGGAGCACATGGTGAGCAAACTAGGATGGCTCAATTTCACTGTAGAGTTCAGGGTAGCACGTGGGGGTGCTTTCTCCTGAAATGCATCCAACTTAGCAAGCAATTCAAAACATTTATTATCTCTATATTCTATTTATTAATTATGACAAATTTACTATTTATCATTAACGTTTCATTAACATGATCAAAGTTCGTCGAATAACGAAGATGAAAACAGAGAAAAATATTTTTCAAACGAAATTTAAGCCGTCATGTTAATCTGGCGTGAACCCCCCCCCCCCCCCAATCTGGCGTGTACTTACAGGGCTACCGATCATAGCAAAGGGGATAATATTGTCAATGGACTGCTCCGAGTTGAAGCAGGATTTAACAAAAGATTTACCAGTCCCGCTCCTCAAAATGTTGTTAGCCACACGGTACGCTGTACGGCGGATTAATGGGCTGAAATGTTAAAACTTCTAAAATCTCCTAAAACTCTAGACATAAGCTGAGATTATGTCTAGACATGACTCCAGTTAAAAGGCATGTAAAGAAGTTGGTTAACAAGTTAGTGTAAAGGTTAGTGTAAAAGTTAAGTGACTAGAATCTTCTTGATCTTACTCAGAGTCGATTAAGTAAGGCCTGACAGCGTCAGTAGCGATCCCACAATACTGTATCTCGTCAGTATCTACTTCTCCCCAGTCTCTAATATCTACAAGTTGAGGTATTGATGTCAAGGGTAGCAGAGAAAATAATGCCACTCAGTACATACAGTGCGATACTTAATGTAAAATTCGAAATCCAAAATTATTATATTGGAGATATTCTTACATCAGTATCATTAACAGAAATAAAACTTTACTCACTTGGATCATCAATGGTGTTGATCAAGCTGATATCAAGATCGGAGATATGATCCAGAGTTCCCAGAAGGAGTCTCGCTTCGTTATCATCTGATCGAAGGAGGGTGTGTATCGCCGTGTTCTGTATCATGAGATCCTCCTCGCATGATGTCGTGGACTCGTTTGATGACGTCATGTTGTTTGATGACGTCATGTTGAAGGATGACGTCATGTTGAAGGATGACTTCTTGCTGGAAAGGTACCAGTAGGCTCCTTCTACACTTCGGACGGTTCTCAACAGATCCTGTGGCGGAAATGGGTCAAACATATTGATTCAAGCTATTACCATGATGAGCGATTGCCAAATGACGTTATCTTGATTAATTACCTAATTACAACTAATTACCTAATTACCTTGGAACTAAGTGGCAGACGGGTACAGCTCTTATATCTGTCGTCCAACTCCAAGTCGTTGAACTGAACTATCGGTAAAAACTCAGGAGACTGGCAATCTTTCAACAGTAACCTCAGCACCTTTTCAACCTGTCTTACCGTCTCACTCTGTGATGACGTCACAAAACCATCTGATGACGTCATATCCTCAATTGGTGACGTCATGACAGAGAGTGTTCTCAAGAGGGGTGTTACTGAGTTACCGAGGAGGTTGTACACGTTAGGTAGAGAGAAGAGAGATGATAACATGTCAAAGGATTGGGTAATGATAGTTCCGTCTGGTAGTGGACCTCCTGATGAGATACAAAGATGTAAACAATTTCCAACATAATTAGTTTTGAACTTATTACAGATACAAAGATGTAAACAATTTACAGCATAATTAGATTTAAACTTATTACAGCACTACACATTTATTGAGTATTATTAATGGGATAGAAGTGCTTTCACCAGGGTGTAGCCAGTCCACACCCTGGCTCCATAATACGAAAGACTTGTTTTAATTCTAAATGAAAAGTTCAAATAAAATTGTTGCTGGTTGCCGTTAATGTTACAGCATCAAGTGACAGAAATAAGTTTCTTAAATTATTATCCACAATTAAATGCCATTTATTTGAAACAAAACCAAAACACTACCCTGTGCGGCGTGCTCTGCTTCAAATCTTCATATCAGTATTATATATTAACCCATCATTACCTGGGTGATGTCTGGAGAGGACCAGGGTGACGGTGGTTATTACCTGGGTGATGTCTGGAGAGGACCAGGGTGACGGTGGTTATTACCTGGGTGATGTCTGGAGAGGACCAGGGTGACTGTGGTTAATACCTGGGTGATGTCTGGAGAGGACCAGGGTGACTGTGGTTAATACCTGGGTGATGTCTGGAGAGGACCAGGGTGACTGTGGTTATTACCTGGGTGATGTCTGGAGAGGACCAGGGTGACTGTGGTTAATACCTGGGTGATGTCTGGAGAGGACCAGGGTGACTGTGGTTAATACCTGGGTGATGTCTGGAGAGGACCAGGGTGACTGTGGTTATTACCTGGGTGATGTCTGGAGAGGACCAGGGTGACTGTGGTTAATACCTGGGTGATGTCTGGAGAGGACCAGGGTGACTGTGGTTAATACCTGGGTGATGTCTGGAGAGGACCAGGGTGAGGGTGGTTATTACCTGGGTGATGTCTGGAGAGGACCAGGGTGACTGTGGTTAATACCTGGGTGATGTCTGGAGAGGACCAGGGTGACTGTGGTTAATACCTGGGTGATGTCTGGAGATGATCAGGGTGACTGTGGTTATTACCTGGGTGATGTCTGGAGAGGATCAGGGTGACGGTGGTTATTACCTGGGTGATGTCTGGAGATGATCAGGGTGACTGTGGTTATTACCTGGGTGATGTCTGGAGAGGACCAGGGTGACGGTGGTGACGATGCTGGTCACCAGGTGACGCCATTCCCCCGATATACTGCTGCAGTTGTTGGGGTCTTTCAGGACCATGTCAAGAAGAAACTGATGGGGTGAGATTTATTGTTAATATAAGCTCTTGTGAGAAGGAGTCAACTTTTGAGAGATTTGGGAAAGCCCGCGCAGAAATATCATAACATAAGAAAATCTGATACATTATTTCTGCGCAGTGATCAAGCTAATTTAGTATATTTAGTTTTATTATATGTATTTAGTATTGTGTACCTGGTAGGATGTGAGATAGTGTCTCCTGATGGGATTATTCTTAGCTTCGTAATACTTCTCGTAGAGGTTCAACAAAACTCCGTGTACTCCACCCTGTAACAGGTAATATTTTGCTGCTATTTCATATTTAATAGAAGAAAAATATTCGTGGAAAAGCGTCTTGAGGCAAAGAAACCTAGTACTAAATATTGTATTTTTGACAGCAAAGTCTTACTGTACATTTGACATAGCTAAAAGTTTGAAGATCCCAGGTTTTTTAGTGTCCTTCATCTGCGCTCTGATAGTCTCTAAACATTGAGACACCAGCTTAGAAGAGTAGGCGGGTTTTTCACCAACACTGAGTCAGACCTGAGGTCACAAGGGTACCATTGAGTTTTATATATATTATTATGTTTAATATTATTATAATGAATAATTCACAGCTAATGACCGAGTTGTAGATTTATGATGGTTATGTTAAGCACAACAGGTGGTGGGCAATGCGTAAAGCTCCACCTTTCTGTCCGCCACCGGTCCCCTGATGATCTTAGTATATTGGAAACGAGCAAAATACCTGGAATACTTTGAATACCGTCCTTCCATAGGATCAGAAATTCTGAGTAACATCTCCGTAACAACCAGGTCTATGTTATTCTTCAGACAGTCTTTTACTATTTTCGGGTCGCTCAGAGCAGAGTTAAGGTATTCAAAGATCTTCGGGAATGTTTCCCTGTATTTCACATCTTCTGAATTGTTCATCGGGAGAATTCCCCCAAGGAGCAGCGGGCAAATGCTCTGCAGAGCATCTTCTGGCGGTGTGCCAAGTATTTCAAATACTTGGGATAGCTGAGTATATTCGCCTTCTAGAAGTAGAGCCAGACTTATAACGCCACACTGTTCTCTGAAGAAAGTATAGTCTAAACATTAATTTTATTTACGTTTTGGTTGATTTTATCACACATTATTGGTTACAGCGCATTATAAACGTATTGTTATAACCTATAAAGGTCAGCAGTTTCTCTTTTACCTGTAAAATTCGAACAAGGAAGAGTAACTGAATGTAGCAGTGGGGAAATGGCGGAGCTCGTTCTTATCACGTAACCAAGACAACAAGACCCGCTCGCTGAATGTGGTAAACAGTGCACGTGGTGAGGTGTACTCCAGGATATCGGAGATATTCTCAACTGCCTGCGGAGGTAAGAGGACGTCAATCCTTAGGTTATATCTATTGATTCTTTAGAATTGATGGGGTAACTTATCTCCAATGATCGGTCATTCAAACAACTATCTAGATAAAACAATAAATTAAACCACGAAGTAACCTTAGCGGTGACTGAAGGGGCGTGAGCAGCGAGCTGAACCAGTTTGTTAAGAGCAGGGAGGATCAGGGTAGATGTGGTTACGAGACAGGATTTTAGGAAGAGGAGGTAGGTCCGGAGGGGTGAGGACAGGTCCGTACTTTTATCTTCCTGTTTAGAGCGGTTTTTATTTTATTAAAAAAACACCTGTATAAATACAATAATTTTGGCCTTCTATTCTTTTAGTCATAAGAAACTTAGTTACCATGATAACTGATAATTAAACGCGTATAATGATTAAATTATCAGGTAAAACTCACCTGACACTTCATATCAAACACAGCACTGAACATGTTGAACACTCACCTGACACTTCATATCAAACACAGCACTGAACATGTTGAACACTCACCTGACACTTCATATCCAACAAGCACTGAACATGTTGAACACTCACCTGACACTTCATATCGAACACAGCACTGAACATGTTGAACACTCACCTGACACTTCATATCCAACAAGCACTGAACATGTTGAACACTCACCTGACACTTCATATCAAACACAGCACTGAACATGTTGAACACTCACCTGACACTTCATATCGAACACAGCACTGAACATGTTGAACACTCACCTGACACTTCATATCGAACACAGCACTGAACATGTTGAACACTCACCTGACACTTCATATCCAACAAGCACTGAACATGTTGAACACTCACCTGACACTTCATATCGAACACAGCACTGAACATGTTGAACACTCACCTGACACTTCATATCGAACACAGCACTGAACATGTTGAACACTCACCTGACACTTCATATCGAACACAGCACTGAACATGTTGAACACTCACCTGACACTTCATATCGAACACAGCACTGAACATGTTGAACACTCACCTGACACTTCATATCCAACACAGCACTGAACATGTTGAACACTCACCTGACACTTCATATCAAACACAGCACTGAACATGTTGAACACTCACCTGACACTTCATATCGAACACAGCACTGAACATGTTGAACACTCACCTAACACTTCATATCGAACACAGCACTGAACATGTTGAACACTCACCTGACACTTCATATCGAACACAGCACTGAACATGTTGAACACTCACCTGACACTTCATATCGAACACAGCACTGAACATGTTGAACACTCACCTGACACTTCATATCGAACACAGCACTGAACATGTTGAACACTCACCTGACACTTCATATCGAACACAGCACTGAACATGTTGAACATCTCCAGCTGACACTTCATATCAAACACAGCACTGAACATGTTGAACACTCACCTGACACTTCATATCGAACACAGCACTGAACATGTTGAACACTCACCTGACACTTCATATCCAACAAGCACTGAACATGTTGAACACTCACCTAACACTTCATATCGAACACAGCACTGAACATGTTGAACACTCACCTGACACTTCATATCGAACACAGCACTGAACATGTTGAACACTCACCTGACACTTCATATCAAACACAGCACTGAACATGTTGAACACTCACCTGACACTTCATATCCAACAAGCACTGAACATGTTGAACACTCACCTGACACTTCATATCGAACACAGCACTGAACATGTTGAACACTCACCTGACACTTCATATCGAACACAGCACTGAACATGTTGAACACTCACCTGACACTTCATATCGAACACAGCACTGAACATGTTGAACACTCACCTGACACTTCATATCGAACACAGCACTGAACATGTTGAACACTCACCTGACACTTCATATCGAACACAGCACTGAACATGTTGAACACTCACCTGACACTTCATATCGAACACAGCACTGAACATGTTGAACACTCACCTGACACTTCATATCGAACACAGCACTGAACATGTTGAACACTCACCTGACACTTCATATCGAACACAGCACTGAACATGTTGAACACTCACCTGACACTTCATATCGAACACAGCACTGAACATGTTGAACACTCACCTGACACTTCATATCGAACACAGCACTGAACATGTTGAACACTCACCTGACACTTCATATCGAAACACAGCACTGAACATGTTGAACACTCACCTGACACTTCATATCGAACAAGCACTGAACATGTTGAACACTCACCTGACACTTCATATCGAACACAGCACTGAACATGTTGAACACTCACCTGACACTTCATATCGAACACAGCACTGAACATGTTGAACACTCACCTGACACTTCATATCGAACACAGCACTGAACATGTTGAACACTCACCTGACACTTCATATCGAACACAGCACTGAACATGTTGAACACTCACCTGACACTTCATATCGAACACAGCACTGAACATGTTGAACACTCACCTGACACTTCATATCGAACACAGCACTGAACATGTTGAACACTCACCTGACACTTCATATCGAACACAGCACTGAACATGTTGAACACTCACCTGACACTTCATATCGAACACAGCACTGAACATGTTGAACACTCACCTGACACTTCATATCGAACACAGCACTGAACATGTTGAACACTCACCTGACACTTCATATCGAACACAGCACTGAACATGTTGAACACTCACCTGACACTTCATATCGAACACAGCACTGAACATGTTGAACACTCACCTGACACTTCATATCTAACACAGCACTGAACATGTTGAACACTCACCTGACACTTCATATCGAACACAGCACTGAACATGTTGAACACTCACCTCACACTTCATATCGAACACAGCACTGAAAATGTTGAACACTCACCTGACACTTCATATCGAACACAGCACTGAACATGTTGAACACTCACCTCACACTTCATATCGAACACAGCACTGAACATGTTGAACACTCACCTGACACTTCATATCTAACACAGCACTGAACATGTTGAACATCTCCAGCTGACACTTCATATCGAACACGGCACTGAACATGTTGAACACTCACCTGACACTTCATATCAAACACAGCACTGAACATGTTGAACACTCACCTGACACTTCATATCGAACACAGCACTGAACATGTTGAACACTCACCTGACACTTCATATCGAACACGGCACTGAACATGTTGAACATCTCCAGCTGACACTTCATATCGAACACAGCACTGAACATGTTGAACACTCACCTGACACTTCATATCAAACACAGCACTGAACATGTTGAACACTCACCTGACACTTCATATCGAACACAGCACTGAACATGTTGAACACTCACCTGACACTTCATATCGAACACAGCACTGAACATGTTGAACACTCACCTGACACTTCATATCGAACACAGCACTGAACATGTTGAACACTCACCTGACACTTCATATCGAACACAGCACTGAACATGTTGAACACTCACCTGACACTTCATATCGAACACAGCACTGAACATGTTGAACACTCACCTGACACTTCATATCAAACACAGCACTGAACATGTTGAACACTCACCTGACACTTCATATCGAACACAGCACTGAACATGTTGAACACTCACCTGACACTTCATATCGAACACAGCACTGAACATGTTGAACACTCACCTGACACTTCATATCGAACACAGCACTGAACATGTTGAACACTCACCTGACACTTCATATCGAACACAGCACTGAACATGTTGAACACTCACCTGACACTTCATATCCAACACAGCACTGAACATGTTGAACACTCACCTGACACTTCATATCGAACAAGCACTGAACATGTTGAACACTCACCTGACACTTCATATCGAACACAGCACTGAACATGTTGAACACTCACCTGACACTTCATATCGAACACAGCACTGAACATGTTGAACACTCACCTGACACTTCATATCAAACACAGCACTGAACATGTTGAACACTCACCTGACACTTCATATCGAACACAGCACTGAACATGTTGAACACTCACCTGACACTTCATATCGAACACAGCACTGAACATGTTGAACACTCACCTGACACTTCATATCGAACACAGCACTGAACATGTTGAACACTCACCTGACACTTCATATCCAACACAGCACTGAACATGTTGAACACTCACCTGACACTTCATATCCAACAAGCACTGAACATGTTGAACACTCACCTAACACTTCATATCGAACACAGCACTGAACATGTTGAACACTCACCTGACACTTCATATCGAACACAGCACTGAACATGTTGAACACTCACCTGACACTTCATATCGAACACAGCACTGAACATGTTGAACACTCACCTGACACTTCATATCGAACACAGCACTGAACATGTTGAACACTCACCTGACACTTCATATCGAACACAGCACTGAACATGTTGAACACTCACCTGACACTTCATATCGAACACAGCACTGAACATGTTGAACACTCACCTGACACTTCATATCGAACACAGCACTGAACATGTTGAACACTCACCTGACACTTCATATCCAACAAGCACTGAACATGTTGAACACTCACCTGACACTTCATATCGAACACAGCACTGAACATGTTGAACACTCACCTGACACTTCATATCGAACACAGCACTGAACATGTTGAACACTCACCTGACACTTCATATCGAACACAGCACTGAACATGTTGAACACTCACCTGACACTTCATATCCAACAAGCACTGAACATGTTGAACACTCACCTGACACTTCATATCGAACACAGCACTGAACATGTTGAACACTCACCTGACACTTCATATCGAACACAGCACTGAACATGTTGAACACTCACCTGACACTTCATATCGAACACAGCACTGAACATGTTGAACACTCACCTGACACTTCATATCGAACACAGCACTGAACATGTTGAACACTCACCTGACACTTCATATCGAACACAGCACTGAACATGTTGAACACTCACCTGACACTTCATATCGAACACAGCACTGAACATGTTGAACACTCACCTGACACTTCATATCGAACACAGCACTGAACATGTTGAACATCTCCAGCTGGCGATCCGGGGATGATGTTGAGAGGAGGGTTTCAACTATCTTCACCACGTGTAGTCTTACCACCGGCACCTGAAACAGTCAGATTGACTTGTCTAACGTTCTGTTTATAATACCATTTTATAACATCCTGTACTTTAGTTTGGGCTGAAATACACAGTTCAAGATCAATAACATTCCGGAGAATATGACGATTTAAATGCTCAAAATCAAAATGATCGATAACGTGAACTAAGTGAGTACCTCGTCTTGAGCCATAGCTACGAGGATGTCCCCAGGTTTGAGATGCTCTCCCACAGCAGCCAGTAAACGAGGGGAGGCGAGGTGGTTAATACACTTTAGGAAGGGTATCCGACACAAGGGCGACATCTTACCCTGTTCATAGAACTGCCTGGGATAACGGGTTAGAAAACGGAGAGGTGTAACGACACTGTAGCGACCGCCAACTTTAAATCATATCTTAGAGTCTAAGCAAGTCAAGGTGGAGCGTAAAGAGGATTTAGCGAATGAAAGGGTAACGAGGATTAAAGAAATGTGATATTGATGTGTGACGAAAGTAGGGAAAGTAGATTCGGAGTTCTCACCAGAAATTGAGGACGATATTTTGTACAATGTCCCTAACAACTATACTATGAGTCTCGGAGGTGACGTGTGGTAACAACACCGCGACACTCTGCAACACTTCGCAACACTTTGTCTCGTCTTTAAAGTTCGCTACTAGCAATAACCTGCAGATTGGTTCATCTGTTAACCCAAAATTAGAAACTTTTATACGATTGGATGATTTCATACTACATATCTTACCCGTGTTTAATGCACCTAATAATACAGTAATACCCATGGCAAAGATTCAGTCCTCAATAAAAGAAGTATAGAATAGTTCTTACAGTATTATCTGAGAATGAGAGTGACACGAGGCACTAACCTTGCAATTTCAGGGATAATTTCCACAAATCTGAGCGGGAGAATCGGAGAGAGATGGCAGAGTTGTCTCAAGATATGCAGCAGACAAGGAGTCCAGGATCTGACTTCCAGATGATCTTGACACAGCGTCTGAAAATTATTCATTAATAATTTTTTAGAGCTGATATAAATGCTATTCGAGTAGCCTCTAGAGTCTAGATAGCAGGGAGCATACAATTCTTATCACAGAATAAGTCTAAAAATAGAAGCTGACACTCATCAACCTCTTACTATACATAATGATATATAATGTATAATGTATAATAATACCAGCATGTACCTTGAGGGATTCGAGAATTTCAAGAGACGTTCCAGGGGTAGACTCGTGCCACGTGACCAGAATATCCACGATCTGTTTTCTCCTCTCAGTGCTAGCATCAACTAGATTTCCCTCCGCAAACTGTCCTTCGTCCGCTCCCATAAACTAGCAAACATCAGATTCTTAATTATCTAACTGCACTCTAATTTATCAAGACACAAGGTTAAAAGTGTCAAAACCATTTCGGATAAGTTGTTGAGAAAAAGAGACGGTAAGAAGTTCTACCTGAGTGGTGGGTACAGTGGTGGACATGAAAGTGCTGGAAATGTTTCCAGAGGTAAATGTGTTCTCTTTTCCGCCCCACAACGAACTGGATACTATCAGCTCCTCTGAATCTGTCTCACTGCTTACTGGTTCACTTCCTGCGGTTGTTTTATTTACTCAAATCGACCGTCAAAGTCATCGGGTATTTAAATCGATGTTAGTGTAGTTAGATAATAATATGATAATATTATGATGATTTACTATTCTAAAGAGATCATCAACCCAATATGATGATAATAAATTCAATTTTAATAACACTACTTTTATGATAAAACTTATACTCATCATTCAATTACCAACCTTCCAAAGCAGATAAAAGGTATCTCATCCAAGACAGTGGTAGGCCGATATAAGCTACTTTGGCTAATTCAAGGAGCAATGGGTGTAGGTCTGACGTCATCGGAAGATTCTTCAGGTACTGAAATAAGTGGTCATATCATAAGTAAAGCTATAAGTAAAGCTATAAGAGTTAGTTGTGGGCTTGCTGGTTCTTATCTAGCAAAAAAAACTATTGAGTTGGAGAATAGGTTTGTTATTATTTGTTGACTATGATAAAATAAGTCGATGAAAATTGTTTGGCTGCATAAGGAACAGACAACATCATGTTTAAAATTGGTGTTTTAACTCATAAGAATGACCTGTTGGGTCACTGATTTCTATATAGAATAAAGAGTTGAATCTAAAGAAAAGTTTGATAAACATAACTACACGATTTGTATTTACCACGATGATAAAATCGAACTGTTGGTGCAAGCAGGATATCACATTTTCGCTCAATCCACTTCTCTTCAGATTTGTGAACATAGATTGTATGACAGTAGCGTACATCAGTAACAAATCGCTCTGACTCTCAGTCGATACTTTCATACATATTTCCAGGATGATACTCTTAATTTCGTCCATTAAATCCTGGTTAACGGTTAGTTTGCGGGGAGTTGATCCTGAAATAGTAAATTGCTAATGCATACTGTCGCTCCTTCTGGTAGTGTAGCGTTACTTATCATGCATTAAGAAATACAAAAATATCGGTAGTGTAAGGAAAAATCTTTAAAATGTTTAAATTGCTAAACATACTTTTAAAATCTTTAAAATAGCAACCTATATTTTTTGCCAATTCCTTGACGGGGATATTCTCTGATTTGAACTGCATTTCACCGTAATGGTTGCAAACTTGATTATCTTCACAGCCAGTCTCCAGAAGAAAGGTCGGGTCGTTACGAGGACTTTTCTTTTGATTTGTCACGATATTAGCCAGAATATGTCCTATTTTAGCTGGAGTGCTCCCTCTGCAGAAGTATTAAGAAAATGAAGTTGAGATATGTCAAATCTTGGACACAGTTTAGTGCTTACAACTGTTTTTTAACAGATAGAAAAACTTGGATAGCTCCTAGTAAAAAGTATAAGAAAACTAACTTCCAATCAGAAAGAGCGATCTTGAAGACGTAGAAAGTACTTTCTGTCCAGTATCCTCTCAGCAACCAATTCACTAGTTTCTTATCGGAGACACTCACTGTATCAAGATTAGCTCCAATGGAGTCAACATTTGACCTGTAGTCATGAAATGTCGTAATTGTCAGGAGTGGCAAAGATTAAGGATGAATCAGCTAAGAATTTCGTGAAACCGCTAAAAACTCCAAAAATTTCTCAAAGACTAAATTATCAATTGATTAATTATCGACTAAATAAATTATCAATTAATTAAATTTACCAAGACGGTTTCTTGAAGGTAAGGATATCTGGAGGTGTTGTTATAGAATACAGTATCTTCAGTGCGAGATACTCGTGCGAGAGTAGACACGATCTCTGAACCGTGGACACCACTTCAGTCTTTAAATCAGGAACATCTATCACTGGTAATAGAGGTAATATTGAGAAATCAAACAAATAATTAATGAATGAGGATTAATCAAAAATGTTTAATATTCAAGAAAATGTGTCATGTGCTAAATAGGTAATGGGAACCTTCTAAAATATCCAACAAGAAGGTTAGTAAAGCATCGACAAAGCTAGCATCTGATTTCGTTTCTTTGAGTGCCGTCAACAGGTTTGACACTATACTTTTCAAATCACTCTTCTCAAAATACTCTTCTTGATTCAGTAATGTGCCGATTCTACACCTAAAGGAAAATCGATGTTATGACAGAGGTTCCCTTGCGTCCTCACAATCTTTGGTTGAGACTAGTGAGCAAGTCAATTGAGTTATCGTCCTGCATGACAAAAAGTGGTGTATTAATTGTTATACCAATGCATAAATGCATGTTTAGCCGAGGAAATTGTAAATATCCAGACAGCCTAGCCATGCCGAAAGGTAGGCGCGCGCTTTCGCGAAAGTGCTTACGATTTGATCTATTCTCCAGACAATTGTTTTTGCGTCCTACAGTAAATATGTTTAAAAAGAGCGACCGTCCTTATTCCCGCCAAGAAAAGTTTCATAGCAACATTGACTGTCGCATACACAACACAACTCACATTGAAGTTTTGATAATGTCAGGCAAAGAATGAAGTCTTCGAAATAAATCCAGAAGAGATGTGACTTTTCTGCGCCTTCTGGACGGTTCCAACGTTTCATCACATCCCAAGTTTTTACAGCATATCATTACACGTGAGCAGAGCTTGTAATAAATACCTTCAATGCTGCGGAGAAATTGAGCGTTAAACTTAAAATTTGAATATAGTTTGATAAATATTTCAGTTTCCAGCAGTTTAGAAAATCGTCCTGATACCTTGAAGATCCGTCGCTAGGCGACAAGCTGTAAAATTGGTAATTGCACGCACGACTTTGATTTTTTGGCAAGCACAGATGAAAATAGTGTCGCACGTGCAGTTTTTATCTATAAAACCTAGCAACACGTCTGTACAGCAGCCAATCTGTTAGAACTCTCTTTGAATTCGCTTCGATTCGCAATTTGATCTCAACTTTGATCATCCAACTCACACACTAATATGGTACTGGACAAAGACTCCATGTTAGTGGCGGCAATATTCACTCTGATATTGACGTCCTGCCTACTCGGACTCTTTGTCCACTTATTGGTGGCCACGAAGGCAGACAGTAGGACTGCCACTACCAGGCTTAGAACCTGCACAATGATGATCCAGCAGCTGGATAATGCCACCGAAAGGACGTTCGGTGAATTCCAGCACCACCTGGATAGTAGCATGAAGTTCATGTTTATGAAAACCCGAAGCAAGAAAAGGTTCCACAACTGGTCACAGACTGACCAACCTGATTTGGAGCTTGGTCTCCTAACAAAAGACGAAGAAAGCCAGACTGATCTGGAAAGGAAGAACAGCTTGCCTCCTCTCATGGTGCGACCGGCTCTTTCTGGAGACGTTGTACTGCCCATCAGTGGCTGAGTGGATCGTGGACTACCATCACAATTTACACCAAGGATGAGGATTTTATACCACTGTCGACTGTAGTTCAGTTCCTTATATTAAGGAAGATTGGACTACAGCGACCCTACGATTTTAAACCAAAGATGATGATTTTAGACGATATTCCTTATATTAAGGAGCGTCACTATCACATCCCTACGATTTTACACCACTGAGGACGATTTTAGACGATCTCCCTTTAAGGGGGGTCACAGTGGGGGGAGTAGTTGACTCCTTGTGCCAGCCCCATGACTCTAGTCATGTCCGGAGAAGCAGGTCGAGATTGGTTAGCGACCTGTTTCTCTGGAACAGACACATTCTCTCAAGTTGAGCTATGTGTGTCTGGGGGTCCCACTGCCGCGGATCTGATCTGGCTGATGGTCCTGGAGTGCGGTCAACTCCAAAATTGGGAAAGGGATTGCAATTCAATTTTTGGGTTACCTTGGGAGGTTGTTGAATTGTCTCATAAATAAAAATATTTAAAATTTGAATATTTAAATATTTAAACATTCTATTCTTGCATTGTATTTGTAACCGTGACAGCAACACTTTACTTGTTTAAATCACCACATTTGTTTTCACTTAAACTAATATAATAACTGAAGTAATTAGTTGTTAATGAGGTGGGAAATCTGTTTTATTCGAGATAATTAATCGACCACATACTAAATACTAATAATTAGGGTCTGTATAAAATAGATCACAATATCGTAACTGCCTATTATCATCACTATACGGGGTTTTCTTTTAAAAAGCATACTATGATACCTCAGAGAAGACCAAATTCATGAACTGTAGCTTAATAGAAATTTGGATTTTTTGCCTGGTAAAATAAACCTTACAAACAAATAAATAAAAACTTTTACTGTTTTACTTCACCTTGTATTCGAGGAAACTAAATTGACAGACGAGTTTTCTAGGTCAGACAAAAGGCTATCTTGTAATAGTCGGATCATCTGAAACGAAAATTAAAACTGTAAGTACGAGTTTCTTGATATTTTATGTTTATCATTTAGGTATACGAAACGCTTGAAATGTTATTTGAGAAGCTACAAATACTCAAGATTGGGATCATATGAACCTCTTTTTGTTTACCGCGAGAATTTTCCAGTTGTAACTAATTGAACTATAAATTATTCCTACAAATCAGCAAGTAAACATACCTCTTGAAGATCAACAGATCGCTCTTCGGGATCTAAACTCTGCCAAACACCCACAACACCACTCACAAACTCCATAGTCTCTCCTCTAACCCCCCTGCGCATGATTTGTGGATAATATTACATTAGAATTAGATGGTAAACTACTGGTAACTTGGTAAGGCGTCCTCAGAAAAAGAAAACCATAGATATACCTATACAGCAGCGCATGATTTGGTCGCAAGATAACGGGAATATTACATTAAAATTAGATAAATATACCTGATATCTATAATAGAACATACCACTATAAATTCCAAAAAATGAAACGCTGTACCGTAGCACACAACACAAAAAGAAAATCCTAGAAATACCTGTACAGCAGCGCATGATTTGGTCTCAAGATAAGGGGAATAATGAGGGCTCCTAGCTCCAGGATATCGTGAGGTGAGCCACCAGATCTGGTTATTTGGGTGTTGTAGAGAGAGGCGAAGTTTACACAGGATGTAGTGAAACTGCTGCTCTTCTCGTGGTGCCGGCCCCTGAGTTTGTGGGAGTTATGAGAGTTACAAATATCGTCCGGAAGAGTTAAATACACCACATCATTTATTCGGCTTCTTAATTTCAGCAGCTTTTTCGACTCTCATATCAAATTATTTTCTCTTAAGTTCTGATTGGAATGCAGATCATTGAAATAGGGCTTTTCTGCCGTTTCCTTCGCTGTTTTGACTGAATTTTTCTTGGATGACCATCTAGCAAGGTCACTGAGGATGGCACAAGACACAATTGTGGTACTGAAAGTTGGATCCCGAAAGGAAGCTTGGATCTTTGGATAAACGGAAAATCATCAGAATAGAAGAACAAATTTTGTGAGATTTTGTAAGAGAAGCTTTTCTGCTGTCTCCTTGACCGAAATTTGGCGGTTTTGACTGTAATTTTGACCATTGAACAATCTAGCTTCTTACTGGGAGGAAATGTTTATCCAAAGAAAGAGGAAATTTTTAAAAGACCTGACATTTTTAAGGGCAGAAGAAACTTTTGTATTTGGTACAAAAATGTTTGTTGGACTAGGAGGAAATTTAACATTTTCATTATAATATGTAGGCCCACTTACCATTCCATTCTTATGAAGTCGGAGAAGTAGAGAAACACCTCAGGTTTAGGAAAGTGGTGTTTGACAGAGGTGCTGGCCGCAACTCGGTAAATACAGGTGACGAGGATGGGGGCAGGGACAAGGTCTTTGTGAGAAGTCCAAACCTCAAACAATCTCATCAGCAGGGCTGAACAATGGGAGTTTTAAATACTAGTTAAGCGGTCATTAGTTAATTAGTTAATAGGTTAAGTTGTCATTCAATCGTCATTAATCTATCTTGGAGGTCAGAAGGTAACGAGGTAAACACCTTATTATATAAGGTTATATTATATTCAATTAAGAATAAATAATTACCTCCTCCCAAATGAACAAAGTGTTAGTTGACGTGTTACATAGAAGAAAAAACATACCCATCCATTTGGGTGCGGCGATGTTAGCACAGTGGTGAGGCGAGGAGAGGATATACTTGCACATGATCCGGATGTAGTCCTTCCCTAAGAATCTGCAGTTGTTGTTATTGATAACTACATCCATCACATGGGATGAGATCACTAGATTGCTCTTGATCCGTTCACCTCGAGCATCAGCAGATTGTAACACGTTGGAGTATGCATTTGTTAGACCTACAGATAGCAAAATAAGACGTTAATATATAATTGATGATTAGATTGGTCAACCAAATTCTTTTAAATAGGATTTACTTATGTAACTGATTAAAATCATCCCCTTTTAATTAATTTTGAAATTTATAGTTTTAATCTAACAATTCAGCTGGTAATTTAAAACCTTTAGCCTTATTGACATGGTCGTTGGGACCAAGCTTGCCAACATTTTGGATAATAGCTTCATGGACCCAATCAAGTAGCTTCGTCCAGTTGAGTTTTTTGTTATTCTGATCAGTTTTACTGTCAATCTTTCTCTGTATTTCCGGATCTGCTACATGGTTAGTTACCGCATCTAAACCTTTCTGAGAGTTAGTGGCATTAGGATTGTAGTACCAAATCAAGTGTATTGATTAATGTTTATACAAATTAGATGGCAACTACATTTCTGAAATATTTAATTGTTTTCCATATTTCTTATTTGAGCTATACTGCATCTCATAAGTAAAGGAAAAATTAACAGTTCTAAAAGGTGGTGGAGTACTCAAACTATAATTGGGTATGAGATAAATGTTGTTTTAAAACTAAAATTAGAACATACCTTGCGCTGTGTTTTTGTTCCAGCATGTAGCCACTCGCATGCATCTTCAAATGACATAAAACCTAGTTTGCAGTAGGTATACAGTTATAATATCTATATTATATTTTAAACTTGAAATCCCCCCGGAAACGGACAGAAAAAAAACACTAAATTCGACAAAAAAAAGACCCTCTGGCAACAGCAAGAAATTGCACTGAGGAGGATGGCTGAGGAGGATGACTGAGAGGGAAGAGGAGGAGGAGGAGGAGGAGGACTCAGGAGGAGGAGGAGGACTGAGGAGTGAGGAGGACTGAGAAGGAGGAGGAGGAGGAGGAGGACTGAATAGGAGGAGGAGGAGGGGGACTGGGGGAGGACTGAGGAGGAGGATGGAGGACTGAGGAGAAGGATGAGGAGGAGGACTGAGGACTGAGGAGGAAGAGGAGGAGGATGAAGAGGAGGAGGAGGACCCAGGAGGAGGACCCAGGAGGAGGACTCAGGAGGAGGAGGAGGACTGGGGAGGAGAAGGACTGTTGAGGACTGATGAGGAGGACTGAGGACGAGGAGGAGGAGTAGGAGGAGGACTGAGGAGGGGAGGAGGAAGAGGACTGAGGAAGATCAGGAAGACCCAGGGGGAGGAGGAGGAAGAGTAGGAGGAGGAAGCATCTAAATGTTATTTCCATTTTTGCCCTTTTTTGTCCATTTTTGTCCGCTCTATTTTTTGTCCGTTTTGAAAATATAGGGTACCGAACGGACAAAAAACATGATCCCCCTATAACAGCAAAAATTGAACATTTTATTTAGCAATTTAGGTGTCCATTAATGTCCGCCTATGTCCGCCTATGTCCGTCAATGTCCGCCAATGTCCGCCTATGTCCGTCTATGTCCGCCTATGTCCGCCTATGTCCTGTCCTTTTTGGATTCTATGAGACAAGCGGACATAGACGGACGTGACACCCCCCCCCCCCCCCATTATAATTTGTAACAACTCAATCATCAAATTATTAAATAAAATATATTATAATCTAGCCGATCTAGCCACAAATTTTAGTTAGCAATTAACCAAAAAACGGAGTACAATCTAAAGTTTGCAATATCGTTCAAATATATTTTCTGGGATAACCGACAAGATTTAGGAAGTTATCAAAATTCTGTCCAGTAAATTTATCAAACATAATACGTATATATTATAATTATATATATATATAATGTGTTAATGTATTAACTAGCAAAGTTCTTGTTCCTGAATCCTGAATTCCTTGTGTGTCAGTTTGTGTTTAGCAAGATTACCCGATTGATTTGATTTATAATCACACAAACTGCAAGAATAAGGTTTCTCCCCGGTGTGTGTCCGTTTGTGACGAGCAAGAGTGCTCGATTGATACGATTTATAATCACACAAACTGCAAGAATAAAGTTTCTTCCCGGTGTGTGTCCGTTTGTGAGAAACAAGATTGCTCAATCGATTTGATTTATAATCACACAAACTGCAAGAATAAGGTTTCTCCCCGGTGTGTGTCAGTTTGTGACGAGCAAGATCGCCCGATTGATACGATTTATAATCACACAAACTGCAAGAATAAAGTTTCTTCCCGGTGTGTGTCCGTTTGTGACGAGCAAGATCGCCCGATCGATACGATTTAAAATCACACAAACTGCAAGAATAAGGTTTCTCCCCGGTGTGTGTCCGTTTATGAGAAACAAGATCGCTCAATCGATACGATTTATAATCACACAAACTGCAAGAATAAGGTTTCTCTGCTGTGTGTGTCAGTTCGTGACGAGCAAGATCGCTCGATCGATTCGATTTAAAATCAAACAGACTGCAAGAATAAGGTTTCTCTCCGGTGTGTGTCCGTTTGTGACGAGCAACATCCCCCGAATGATTCGATTTAAAATCACACAGACTGCAAGAATAAGGTTTCTCTCCGGTATGTGTCCGTTTGTGAATAGCAAGAGTGCTCGATCGACTCGCTTTGTAATCACAAATACTGCAAGAATAAGTTTTCTCTCCAGTGTGTTTTTGTTTCTGTTTTTTCAACTTCTGTTTAGTCCCAGACGCAGAGGTTTCTCCAATAGATAGAGTTTCAGCCTGAATACCACAATCAGACTCGGTAGCTATAGGAAAAGAAGAAGACTTTCTTTTCGCAGGTCTTACATTCGATGGTGTTAGCGCAAGATTACAATTATCACACCAAAGTTCTTTATAATCCAAAAGTTCATCTTTAAACGGGACATCATAGCAACTTCTGAAATCCTCAATCTTTACAACTTTACCTACTGGATTGAAATGTTTTGAACTAGCTTCAAACTGATTACACAGCACGGCTTCAGCTTTCAGATTGTTACTTCTGCCGTCTTCCTCGCATTTACAAGTGCATACTGACCAAATTGAAGTAGTGTTAACTTGTTGGTCGTCTGTCATCTCTTCTTTGATATCAATCCCATCAAACCTTTCTGTTTTTTGAAGTGGCATTCCTGAAAAAAATTGTTGTATAAATGCTATTTACGTCTTAAGCGAACATAATTAAATATAACAAGATTATTTACTACAATTTGTAACGACTCAATCATGAAAAATACCAAATTAATCATATGATCAAATTTGATTTAGCAATTAACCAAAACAGAGTACACTCTAAAGTTTGCAATATCGGTCAAATATTTGTTTGTGATAACAAACAAGATTTTGGAACATATCGACAATAATTGAAATCATCGGCGATATAATGAAGTAAAACTGCTTGTGCTGATTTAAATAAGGATTTTCTTCCTTTTTCATATGATTCATTTGTTGCAAGATTTTACAACATTGTCTAGGTTAGGTTGACTTAGTTAATAACTAAGTCAATAAAATTTATCATTCCACGAGAATAAAATAATGAGTTAATTTAGGGCCAAAGTCTAACCGCGATTTATTTACGAATTCGAACTTGGGCCATCAATTAATATTTTAATTAATAACAGTGGCAGAATGAAAACCTCAGTTTTTGACAACTTTTAGTGGTCCAAGATTTTCAAAATCTAATAAAAATGTTCAATTTAGGCTTATCTCAAAATTAAACGCTTTCGTCATTGTCAAATAAAATCCCTACTTTCCATAGTAGTAGTACAGAAATAGATGATAAAGAGAAATTAAACATAACTGATTTTTAATATTTCCTTGAACAAATCTTTCAACTAGTGAGTTTCTAGTGTATTATAATTGGTAACTAATTTCATTCATCAAATTATTAAATAAAATATGTTATAATGAAGCCACAAATTGTAGTTAGCAAAATTAACCAAAAAACGGAGTACAATCTAAAGTTTGCAATATCATTCAAATATATTTTCTGGGCTGACCGACAAGATTTTGGTCATCAAAATTCTGTCCAAGTTAATTTATCAAACATACTATATTATATAATGTTTTAATGTATTAACTAGCAAAATTCTTGCTCCTGAATCCTGAATTCCTTGTGTGTCAGTTTGTGTTTAGCAAGATTGCCCGATTGATTTGATTTATAATCACACAAACTGCAAGAATACGGTTTCTCCCCGGTGTGTGTCCGTTTGTGAGAAGCAAGATTGCCAGAGTGATATGATTTATAATCACACAAACTGCAAGAATAGGGTTTCTCCTCTGTGTGTGACCGCTTGTGACGAGCAAGATCCCCCGAATGATTAGATTTATAATCACACAAACTGCAAGAATAGGGTTTCTCCCCGGTGTGTGTTCGTTTGTGAGAAGCAAGATGGCCAGAATTATATGATTTATAATCACACAAACTGCAAGAATAAGGTTTCTCCCTGGTGTGTGTCAGTTTGTGACGAGCGAGAGTGCTCGATCGACTCGCATTGTAATCACACAAACTGCAAGAATAAGGTTTTTCCCCGGAGTGTGTCAGTTTGTGACGAGCAAGAGTGCACGATTGATTTGATTTATAATCGCACAAACTGCAAGAATAGGGTTTCTCCCCAGTGTGCGTCCGTTTGTGAGAAGCAAGATGGCTCTTTTCTCTGGTGTGTTTTTGTTTCTGTTTTTTCAAATTCTGTTTAGTCCCAGACGGAGAGGTTTCTCCAATAGATAGAGTTTCAGCCTGAATACCAAAATCAGACTCAGTAGGTATAGGAAAAGAAGACTTTCTTTTTGCAGGTCTTACATTCGATGGTGTTAGAGCAAGATTACAGTTATCACACCAAAGTTCTTTATAGTCCAAAAGTTCATCTTTAACCGGGACATCATAGAAACTCCTGACATCCTCAATCTTTACAACTTCACCTACTTGGTTGAAGTGTTCTGAACTAGCTTCAAACTGATTACACAGAACGGCTTCAGCTTTCAGATTGTTACTTCTGTCGTCTTCCTCACATTTACAATTGCACACTGATGATGACCAGGTTGAAGTAGTGTCAACTTGTTGGTCGTCTGTCATCTCTTCTTTGATATCTATCCCCTCAAACCTTTCTGTTTTTTGAAGTGACATTCCTGAAAAAAATTGTTGTATAAATGTTATTTACGTCTTAAAACAGAATTAAATATAACAAGATTATTTACTACAATTTGCAACGACTCAATCATGAAAAATACCAAATAAATCATATGATCAAATTTGATTTAGCAATTAACCAAAACAGAGTACACTCTAAAGTTTGCAATATCGGTCAAATATTTGTTTGTGATAACCAACAAAATTTTGGAAGTTATCGACAATAATTGAAATTATCAGCGATCAAATGAAGAAAAACTGCTTGTGCTGATTTAAATAATTTGTTTTCTTTTTCATACGATTCATTGGTTGTAAGATTTTACAACATTGTCTCTAGGTTAGGTTGACTAAGTTAATAACTAAGTCAATAAAAGTGATCATTCCACGTGTATAAAATAATGAGTTAATTTAGGGCCAAAGTCAAACGACGATTTATTTACGAATTCGTACTTGGGCCATCAATTAATATTTTAGTTAATAACAGTGGCAGAATGAAAACCTCAGTTTTTGACAATTTTCAGTGGTCCAAGATTTTCAAAATCTAATACAAATTTTGAAGAGGCATATCTTAAAAATTTAACGTTGTCGTCATTGTCAAATAAAATCCCTAAATTCTATAGTAGTAGTACAGAGCTAGATGATAAAGAGAAATTAACATAACTGATTTTTAAAAGTTCCTCGAACAAAGCTTTCAACTAGCGGGTTTCTAGTGTATAATAATTTGTAACTACTCAATCATCAAATTATATAATAAAATATATTATAATCAAGCCACAAATTGTAGTTAGCAATTAACTAAAAAAGATTGCAATATCATTCAAATATATTTTTTGATATAACCGACAAGATTTTGGAAGTTATAAAAATTCTGTCCCAAGTAAATTGATCAAACATATTATAAATCACAATGCTGGCAAGCATAACCGTTGCCCTTATATTCACAACACTATGTACCCCCTATACTATTATGTCCCCTTTATTGTTTTCCAGGCATTAAGACTCATCGAAAGTAGTTCAGCAGGTATATTTAAGTTCAAAACATTCTAATTCAATGTTAAAGATGACAGGAATAAGAAATAGTTATGTGGAGGTTTTTAAGAAATTTGCGCAAAATACGCGCCAGCATGTTATACGAAATTAGGTAAAAAACCCAAAATCGCCATATTCAGGTGCCTTAAAAACCATGTTAAAATTGAGTTAGAGATCTGAAACTTTGCAGGGCGTCTAGACCTTGTCCAAATCGACTGTAAAAAAAATTTCATGTTGCAGGAGTATCGGGAAGTGGGTTTTCTGGAACCCCTGTTTTACAACAGATTGTCGTGAAGCTATATATATATGTATAGACGCTTTTGCAGTAAATTGTAGCCTACATTTAAGTGTCCGTAGATTCAAAAGTATAAAAGATACAGTCATTTCGAACCGCAGGTTTTAAAGATAATTGTTTATACTTTAGTTTACATTATATCGAAAAATAATTTATCGTCATCATCATCACTTGATGACGTCATCAATTTAAGTGTTTTTAAAACTTGATTTTTGACAAAATAACAACTTTTCAAATCGATTTTAAAGCATTAAGGAGTAATTTTATTCAAAATCTGAGGACATTTTCATCTTAGATAATTGTTTAAGCATTCTGAAAATCTACCGGAAAGTTTTCCTACCTTGCTCCTTCATAAAGATATTCGCTATTGAAGTTTGTGCTTTTTTGAAGAATAATTTTATAAAAACACAAAAGTTGTGAATTAGTATTCTCTGGTGTTGGGCTATCCCTTGGGTTGTGGAGCTCAATTTTGCTTCCTAAAGGTCTAAATTGTGTTATAGGCTAGTTTTAAAGTTGAAAATCGAAAAGTTGCACACGTGGGGACACGCCCAAATTCATTTAAAATAGCTAAAATCACTAAAAATTGTTATTTTCACGATTTTTACCAACTTTGGAGTCCCGTTGTGATCCAAGTTCTTTTTGAAATCTTCTGAAACTTTTCATGCTTATCAAACTATATATTAAATAACACTATGCAAAAATTTATGGTGATTCAATATTTTATGCGCACGCAACGTCCGCTCAAAGTTTGCACGTGCGAAAGGTGAGAATTTTGCTCATTCGTGATTTCGAATATATTCTGCTTTCCCACGATATTAAAATGGCATTATATATGAATTTAATGCCAACTTGAATGAGTAAAAAGTGCTATATTCAGTCTGTTATTGACAGATATGCCTACCTAAACACAAGGAAACGTTTTCAAAGGTAAAATTTCGAAATCGTTGAAATTACCTCCTTATTAAGATTCGACTGTGTAAATTATCCTGACATTATAATCAAAAAGAGATGATATTTGACCAAAACCCATAATCATGGGTAGAGTGAACCGCTGCCAGTGTCTCTCTTTTCCAAACAAAAGAAAATGATATTAATTTGAGGAACCGTCCGCAAATGCAAATTGATACCGAGAATGAAATCGGTTGCTCGCTTTTCCCATTCATTCACGGCTTACGTATTGTAATAAAGCTTATTGAATGGGAAAAGCGAGCGACCGATTTCATTCTCGGTATCAATTTGCATTTGCGGACGGTTCCTCAAATTAATATCATTTTCTTTTGTTTGGAAAAGAGAGACACTGGCAGCGGTTCACTCTACCCATGATTATGGGTTTTGGTCAAATACCGTATACTGTATAATGTTTTAATGTATTAACTAGCGAAGTTCTTCTTCCTGAATCCTGAATTTCTTGTGTGTCAGTTCGTGATTAGCAAGATTGCCCGATTGATTTGATTTATAATCACAAAAACTACAAAAATAAGGTTACTATGCTGTGTGTGTCCGTTTGTGAGCAGTAAGATCTCTCAATTGATTCGATTTATAATCACACAGACTGCAAGAATAATGTTTTTCTCCAGTGTGTGTCCGTTTGTGACGAGCAAGATCGCTCGATCGATACGATTTATAATCACACAAACTGCAAGAATAAGGTTTTTCTACTGTGTGTGTCAGTTTGTGAGCAGTAAGATTTCTCAATCGATTCGATTTATAATCACACAAACTGCAAGAAAAAGGTTTCTCCCCGGTGTGAGTCCGTTTGTGAGCAGCAAGATCGCTCGATCGATACGATTTATAATCACACAAACTGCAAGAATAAGGTTTCTTCCCGGTGTGAGTCCGTTTGTGAACTTAGCAAGATCGCTCGATCGATACGATTTATAATCACACAAACTGCAAGAATAGGGTTTCTCCCCGGTGTGTGTCCGTTTGTGAGAAGTAACATTGCCAGAGTTATTTGATTTATAATCACACAAACTGCAAGAATAAGGTTTCTTCCCGGTGTGTGTTAGTTTGTGACGAGCAAGATCGCCCGATTGACTTGATTTATAATCACACAAACTGCAAGAACAAGGTTTTTCTCCTGTGTGTGTCAGTTTGTGACGAGCAAGATTGCCCGATCGATTGCATTTAAAATCACAAAAACTGCAAGAATAAGGTTTCTCTCTGGTGTGTGTTCGCTTCTGTTTTTTCAAATTCTGTTTAGTCCCAGACGGAGAGGTTTCTCCAATAGATAGAGTTTCAGCCTGAATACCAAAATCAGACTCAGTAGGTATAGGAACAAGAGAATGCTTTCTTTTCGCAGGTCTTACATTCGATGGTTTCAACTTTTCTTTAGTCCCAGACGGTGAGGTTTCTCCAATAGATAGAGTTTCAGTCTGAATACCAAAATCAGACTCAGTAGGTATAGGAAAAGAAGAAGACTTTATTTTTGCAGGTCTTACATTCGATGGTGTTATCGCAAGATTACAGTTATCACACCAAAGTTCTTTATCTAAGTCCAAAAGTTCATCTTTAACCGGGACATCATAAAAACTCCTGACATCCTCAATCTTTACAACCTCACCTACTTGGTTGAAGTGTTCTGAACTAGCTTCAAACTGATTACACAGCACGGCTTCAGCTTTCAGATTGTTACTTCTGTCGTCTTCCTCACATTTACAATTTCACACTGATGATGACCAGGTTGAAGTAGTGTTAACTTGTTGGTCGTCTGTCATCTCTTCTTTGATATCAATCCCATCAAACCTTTCTGTTTTTTGAAGTGACATTCCTGATAAAAATGTTTGTATATTAATGTTCTTTACGTCTTAAGCGAACAGAATTAAAAATAACAAGATTATTTACTATAATTTGTAACGACTCAATCATCAAAAATACCAAACAAATTGTATAATAAAATTCCATTTTGCAAGTAACCAAAACAGAGTACTATCTAAAGTTTGCAATTTCGGTCAAATTTTTGGAAATTATAGACAATATAGATGAAACTATCGGCGAATCAAATCAGGATTTTCTTCCTTTTTCATATGACTCATTGGTTGCAAGATTTTACAACATTGTCTAGGTTAGATTGACTAAGTTAATAACTAAGTCAATAAAAGTTATCATTCTACGCGAATAAAATAATGAATTAATTTAGGGCCAAAGTCTAACCGCGATTTATTTACGAATTCGTACTTGGGTCATCAATTAATATTTTTCATTAATAACAGTGGCAGAATGAAAACCTCAGTTTTTGACAATTTTTAGTGGTCCAAGATTTTCAAAATCTGATAAAAAATGTTCAATTTAGGCTTTTATCAAAAGTCAACGTTTTTGTCATTGCCAAATAAAATCCCTACTTTCCATAGTAGTAGTACAGAGATAGATGATAAAGAGAAACTAAACATAACTGATTTTTAAGATTTCCTTGAACAAATCTTTCAACTAGCGAGTTTCTAGTGTATTATAATTGGTAACTAATTTTAATCATCAAATTATTAAATAAAATATGTTATAATGAAGCCACAAATTGTAGTTAGCAAAATTAACCAAAAAACGGAGTACAATCTAAAGTTTGCAATATCATTCAAATATATTTTCATTATATACTATATTATATAATGTTTTAATGTATTAACTAGCAAAATTCTTGCACCTGAATCCTGAATTCCTTGTGTGTCAGTTTGTGTTTAGCAAGATTGCCCGATTGATTTGATTTATATTGACACAAACTGCAAGAATAAGGTTTCTCTCCAGTGTGTGTCAGTTCGTGACGAGCAAGATCACTTGATTGCTTCGATTTAAAATCACACAAACTGCAAGAATAAGGTTTCTCCCCGGTGTGTGTCCGTTTGTGACGAGCAAGATTGCTCGATCGACTCGCATTGTAATCACACAAACTGCAAGAATAAGGTTTTTCCCCGGTTTGTATCCGGTTGTGAGAAGCAAGATCGCTCAATCGATAGGATTTATAATCACACAAACTGCAAGAATAGGGTTTCTCTCCTGTGTGTGTCAGTTCGTGATTAGCAAGAGTGCTCGATCGACTCGATTTGTAATCACACAAACTGCAAGAATAAGGTTTCTCCCCGGTGTGTGTCCGTTTGTGACGAGCAAGATCGCTCGATCGATACGATTTATAATCACAAAAACTGCAGGAATATGGTTTCTTCCCAGAGTGTTTTAGTTTGTGAATAGCAAGATTGCCCGATTGATTTGATTTATAATCACATAAACTACAAGAATAAGGTTTCTTTCCTGTGTGTGTCCGTTTGTGAGAAGCGAGATTGCTCAATCGATTTGATTTATAATCACACAAACTGCAAGAATAAGGTTTCTCCCCGGTGTGTGTCAGTTTGTGACGAGCAAGAGTGCTCGATTGACTCGCTTTGTAATCACACAAACTGCAAGAATAAGGTTTCTCTCCGGTGTGTGTTTGTTTCTGTTTTTTGAACTTATGTTTATTCCCAGACGGAAAGGTTTCTCCAATAGATAGAGTTTCAGCCTGAATACCAAAATCAGACTCGGTAGGTATAGGAAAAGAAGACTTTCTTTTTGCAGGTCTTACATTCGATGGTGTTATCGCAAGATTACAGTTATCACACCAAAGTTCTTTATAGTCCAAAAGTTCATCTTTAGCCGGAACATCACGGGAAATCCTGAAATCCTCAATCTTTTCAGCTTCACCTACTTGGTTGAAGTGTTGTGAACTAGCTTTAAACTGATTACATAGCACGGCTTCAGCTTTCAGATTGCTACTTCTGTCGTCTTCCTCACATTTACAATTGCATACTGACCAGGTTGAAGTATAAGTAGTGTTAACTTGTTGGTCGTCTGTCATCTCTTCTTTGATATCAATCCCATCAAACCTTTCTGTTTTTTGAAGTGACATTCCTGAACAAAATTGTTGTATAAATGTTATTTACGTGTTAACACAGAATTAAATATAACAAGATTATTTACTACAATTTGTAACGACTCAATCATGAAAAATACCAAATAAATCATAATATGATCAAATTTGATTTAGCAATTAACCAAAACAGAGTACACTCTAAAGTTTGCAATATCGGTCAAATATTTGTTTGTGATAACCAACAAGATTTTGGAAGTTATCAGCAATAATTGAAATTATCAGCGATAAAATGAAGAAAAACTGCTTGTGCTGATTTAAATAAGTTTTTTTCCTTTTTGATACGATTCATTGGTTGTAATATTTTATAACATTGTCTAGGTTAGGTCGACTAAGTCAATAAAAGGGATAAAAGTTATCATTCCATGTGAATAAAATAATGAGTTAATTTAGGGTCAAAGTCAAACTGCGATTTATTTACGAATTCGTACTTGGGTCATCAATTCATATTTTAATTGATAACATTGGCAGAACGAAAACCTCGGTTTTTGACAATTTTTTGTGGTCCAAGATTTTCAAAATCTAATAAAAAATGTCCAAAGGCTTATCTCAAAATTCAATGGTTGTCGTTAATGTTAAATAAAATCCCTACCCTCTATAATAGTAGTAACTACAGAGCTAGATGATAAAAAGAAATTAAACATAACTGAATTTTAAAAATTCCTCAAACAAAGCTTTCAATTAGCGGGTTTCTAGGGCCAGGGTATTATAATTTGTAACTACTCAATCATCAAATTGTCAAATAAAATATATTATATATAATCAAGCCACAAATTTTAGTTAGCAATGAACCAAAAAATGTTTACAAGTTTTCACACAAACTGCAAGAATAAGTTCATTCTCCTGTGTGAGTCAGTTCGTGACGAGCAAGATCGTTCGATAGATTCGATTTATAATCACACAAACTGCAAAAATAACGTTTCTCTCCTGTGTGTGTCAGTTTGTGACGAGCAAGATTGCCAGAGTGATTTGATTTATAATCACACAAACTGCAAGAATAAGGTTTCTCCCCGGTGTGTGTCCGTTTGTGAGAAGCAAGATTGCTTGATTGATTTGATTTATAATCACACAAACTGCAAGAATAAGGTTTCTTCCCGGTGTGTGTCCTTTTGTGAGCAGCAAGATCGCTCAATCGATTTGATTTATAATCACACAAACTGCAAGAATAACGTTTCTCCCCGGTGTGTGTCCGTTCGTGAGAAGCAAGTTTGCCCAATTGATTTGATTTATAATCACACAAACTGCAAGAATAGGGTTTCTCCCCGGTGTGTGTCCGTTTGTGAGAAGCAAAATTGCCAGAGTGATATGATTTATAATCACACAAACTGCAAGAATAGGGTTTCTCCTCTGTGTGTGACCGCTTGTGACGAGCAAGATCCCCCGACTGATTTGATTTATAATCACACAAACTGCAAGAATAAGGTTTCTCCCCGGTGTGTGTTCGTTTGTGAGAAGCAAGATTGCTCAATTGATTCGATTTATAATCACACAAACTGCAAGAATAAGGTTTCTCCCCGGTGTGTGTCCGTTTGTGAGAAGCAAGATGGCCAGAGTTATATGATTTATAATCACACAAACTGCAAGAATAACGTTTCTCCCCGGTGTGTGTCAGTTCGTGAAAAGCAAGTTTGCCCGATTGATTTGATTTATAATCACACAAACTGCAAGAATAAGGTTTCTCCCTGGTGTGTTTCAGTTTGTGACGAGCAAGAGTGCCCGATTGATTTGATTTATAATCGCACAAACTGCAAGAATAAGGTTTCTCCCCAGTGTGCGTCCGTTTGTGAGAAACAAGACTGCTCGATCGATTCGATTTAAAATCACAAAAACTGCAAGAATAAGGTTTCTCCCCGGTGTGTGTCCGTTTGTGAGAAGCAAGATCGCCCGATTGATATGATTTATAATCACACAAACTGCAAGAATAAGGTTTCTCTCCGGTGTGTGTCCGTTTGTGACGAGCAAGATCCCCCGAATGATTCGATTTATAATCACACAAACTGCAAGAATAAGGTTTTTCTCCTGTGTGTGTCCGTTTGTGAATAGCAAGAGTGCTCGATCGAATCGCTTTGTAATCACACAAACTGCAAGAATAAGTTTTCTCTCCGGTGTTTTTTTGTTTCTGTTTTTTCAACTTCTGTTTAGTCCCAGACGGTGAGGTTTCTCCAGTAGATAGAGCCTGAATACCACAATCTGACTCAGTAGGTATAGGAGATGAAGAAGACTTTCTTTGTGCAGGTATTACATTCGACGTTGTTAGCGCAAGATTACAGTTATCACACCGAATTTCTTTATAGTCCAAAAGTTCATCTTTAGCCGGTACATCACGGAAAATCCTGACATCCTCAATCTTTACAACTTCACCTACTTGGTTGAAGTGTTCTGAACTAGCTTCAAACTGATTACACAGCACAGCTTCAGCTTTCAGATTGTTACTTCTGTCGTCTTCCTCACATTTACAAGTGCATACTGACCAGGTTGAAGTAGTGTTAACTTGTTGGTCGTCTGTCATCTCTTCTTTGATATCAATCCCCTCAAACCTTTCTGTTTTTTGAAGTGACATTCCTGATAGAAATGTTTGTATATTAATGTTCTTCATGTCTTAAGCGAACAGAATTAAAAATAACAAGATTATTTACTATAATTTGTAACGACTCAATCATCAAAAATACCAAATAAATTGTATAATAAAATTTGATTTTGCAAGTAACCAAAACAGAGTATTATCTTAAGTTTGCAATATCGGTCAAATTTTTGGAAATTATCGACAATAGATGAAACTATTGGCGATTTAAATCAGGATTTGCTTCCTTTTCTATATGACTTATTGGTTGCAAGATTTTAGTAAAACAAAGTATTTTATTTATTAGCAGTGCAATCAAATCCTATGATTTAATTATAAGAAAATAATAGTATACTAGTATGTCACACCTATTTAACTGTTACGTTTGAGTAGTCGTCTTTACAACATTGTCAAAAATAGAGTAGAACACTCTAAAGTTTGCAATATCGGTCAAATATTTGTTTGTGATAACCGACAAGAAACTGCTTGTGCTAATTTAAATTCTTCCTTTTTCATACAATTCATTGGTTCATTTTACAACATTGTCTCTAGGTTAGGTCGACTAAGTTAATAACTAAGTCAATAAAAGTTATCATTCCACGTGAATAAACTAATGAGTTAATTTAGGGCCAAAGTCAAACGACGATTTATTTATGAATTCGTACTTGGGCCATCAATTAATATTTTAGTTAATAACAGTGGCAGAATGAAAACCTCGGTTTTTGACAATTTTTAGTGGTCCAAGATTTTCAAAATCTAATAAAAATGTTCAATTTAGGCTTATCTCAAAATTAAACGCTTTCGTCATTGTCAAATAAAATCCCTACTTTCCACAGTAGTAGTACAGAGCTAGATGATTTAAAAGAGAAATTAAACATAACTGATTTTTAAGATTTCCTTGAACAAATCTTTCAACTAGTGAGTTTCTAGTGTATTATAATTGGTAACTAATTTCATTCATCAAATTATTAAATTAAATTATATGTTATAATCAAGCACAAATTGTAGTTAGCAAAATTAACCAAAAAACGGAGTACAATATAAAGTTTGCAATATCATTCAAATATATTTTCTGGGATGACCGACAAGATTTTGGTTGTCTAAATTCTGTTCAAGTTAATTTATCAAACATACTATATTAAATAATGTTTTAATGTATTAACTAGCAAAATTCTTGCTCCTGAATCCTGAATTCCTTGTGTGTCAGTTTGTGTTTAGCAAGATTGCCCGATTGATTTGATTTATAATCACACAAACTGCAAGAATAAGGTTTCTCCCTGGTGTGTGTCAGTTTGTGACGAACAAGACTGCTCGATCGACTCGCATTGTAATCACACAAACTGCAAGAATAAGGTTTTTCCCCAGTGTGTATACGTTTGTGAGAAGCAAGATCGCTCAATTGACTTGCTTTGTAATCACAAAAACTGCAAGAATAAGGTTTCTCCCCGGCCCCGGTGTGTGTTAGTTTGTGACGAGCAAGTGTGCTTGATCGACTCGCTTTGTAATCACACAAACTGCAAGAATAAAGTTTCTCCCCGGTGTATGTCCGTTTGTGACGAGCAAGATCACTCAATCGATAGGATTTATAATCACACAAACTGCAAGAATAAGGTTTCTCCCCGGTGTGAGTCCGTATGTGACAAGCAAGATCACTCAATCGATAGGATTTATAATCACACAAACTGCAAGAATAGGGTTTCTCTCCTGTGTGTGTCAGTTCGTGATTAGCAAGAGTGCTCAATCGATTCGCTTTGTAATCACACAAACTGCAAGAATAAGGTTTCTTCCCGGTATGTGTCCGTTGGTGACGAGCAAGATCGCTCGATCGATACGATTTATAATCACAAAAACTGCAGGAATAAGGTTTCTCCCCAGAGTGTTTTAGTTTGTGAATAGCAAGATTGCCCGATTGATTTGATTTGTAATCACACAAACTGCAAGAATAAGGTTTCTCCCCGGTGTGTGTCAATTTGTGACGAGCAAGATCGCTCAATTGATTTGATTTATAATCACACAAACTGCAAGAATAAGGTTTCTCTCCAGTGTGTGTCAGTTCGTGACAAGCAAGATTGCCCGATTGATTTGATTTATAATCACACAAACTGCACGAATAAGGTTTATCTCCGGTGTGTGTCCGTTTGTGAGAAGCAAGATGGCCCAATTGATTTGATTTAAAATCACACAAACTGCAAGAATAAGGTTTCTCCCCGATGTGTGTCAGTTTGTGACGAGCAAGAGTGCTCGATTGACTTGCTTTGTAATCACAGAAACTGCAAGAATAAGGGTTTTCTCCGGTGTGTGTTTGTTTCCGTTTTTTGAACTTCTGTTTAGTCCCAGACAGTGAGGTTTCTCCAATAGATAGAGTTTCAGCCTGAATATTACAATCAGACTCTGTAGGTATAGGAAAAGAAGAAGAATTTATTTTCGCAGGTATTACATTCCATGTTGTTAGTGCAAGTTTACAGTTATCACACCAAAGTTCTTTATAGTCCAAAAGTTCATCTTTAACCGGGATATCGCGGAAACTTCTGACATCTTCAATCTTTACAACTTCACCTACTTGGTTAAAGTGTTCTGAACTAGCTTCAAGCTGATCACAAGGCACGACTTCTGCTTTCTGATTGTTACTTCCGTCGTCTTCCTCACATTTACAATTGCACACTGATGATGACCAGGTTGAAGTAGTGTTAACTTGTTGGTCGTCTGTCATCTCTTCTTTGATATCAATCCCATCAAACCTTTCTGTTTTTTGAAGTGACATTCCTGAAAAAACGTTGTATAAATGTTATTTACGTCATAAGCGAACAGAATTAAATATAACACGATTATTTACTACAATTTGTAACGACTCAATCATGAAAAATACCAAATAAATCATATGATAGAATTTGATTTAGCAATTAACCAAAACAGAGTACACTCTAAAGTTTGCAATATCGGTCAAATATTTGTTTTTGATAACCAACAAGATTTTGGAAGTTATCGACAATAATTGAAATCATCGGCGATAAAATGAATTAAACTGCTTGTGCTGATTTAAATAAGAATTTTCTTCCTTTTTCATACAATTCATTGGTTGCAAGATTTTATAACATTGTCTAAATTAGGTCGACTAAGTTAATACCTAAGTCAATAAAAGGTATTATTCCATGGAAAACAATTATGAGTTAATTTAGGGCCAAAGTCAAACCGCGATTTATTTACAAATTTGTACTTGGGCCATCAATTCATATTTTAATTGATAACAGTGGCAGAATTTTTCAAAATCTAATAAAAATGTTCAAAGGCTTATCTCAAAATTCAACGTTATCGTCATTGTCAAATAAAATCCCTACCCTCTATAGTAGTAGTACAGAACTAGATGATAAAAAGAAATTAAACATAACTGAATTTTAACAATTCCTCGAACAAAGCTTTCAATTAGCGGGTTTCAAGTGTATTATAATTTGTAAGTATTCAATCATCAAATTATCAAATAAAATATATTATAATCAATCTACAAATTGTAGTTAGCAATGAACCAAAAAAGGTTTACAAGATTTCACACAAACTGCAAGAATAAGGTTATTCTCCTGTGTGTGTCAGTTTGTGACGAGCAAGATCGTTCGATAGATTCGATTTATAATCACACAAACTGCAAGAATAAGGTTTCTCCCCGGTGTGTGTCCGTTTATGAGCAGTAAGATAGCTCAATTGATTCGATTTATAATCACACAGACTGCAAGAATACTGTTTTTCTCCAGTGTGTGTCCGTTTGTGACGAGCAAGATCGCTCGATCGATACGATTTATAATCACACAAACTGCAAGAATAAGAATTCTCTCCCGTGTGTGTCCGTTTGTGACGAGCAAGATCCCCCGAATAATTCGATTTATAATCACACAAACTGCAAGAATAAGGTTTCTCCCCGGTGTGTGTCCGTTCGTGAGAAGCAAGTTTGTCCAATCGATTTGATTTATAATCACACAAACTGCAAGAATAGGGTTTCTCCCCGATGTGTGTCCGTTTGTGAGAAGCAAGATTGCCAAAGTGATATGATTTATAATCACACAAACTGCAAGAATAGGGTTTCTCCTCTGTGTGTGATCGTTTGTGACGAGCAAGATCCCCAGAATGATTCGATTTATAATCACACAAACTGCAAGAATAGGGTTTCTCCCCTGTGTGTTTCCGTTTGTGATTAGCAAGAGTGCTCGATCGACTCGCTTTGTAATCACACAAACTACAAGAATAAGGTTTCTCCCCGGTGTGTGTCGATTTGTGACGAGCAAGATCGAATGATCGACTCGCTTTGTAATCACACAAACTGCAAAATAAGGTTTTTCTCTAGTGTGTGTCAGTTTGTGACGAGCAAGATCGCTCGATTGACTCGATTTGTAATCACATAAACTGCAAGAATAAGGTTTCTCCCCGGTGTGTTTTTGTTTCTGTTTTTTCAACTTATGTTTATTTCCAGACGGAGAGGTTTCTCCAATAGATAGAGTTTCAGCCTGAATACCAAAATCAGACTCAGTAGGTATAGGAAAAGAAGAAGACTTTCTTTTCACAGGTATTACATTCGATGTTGTTATCGCAAGGTTACAGTTATCACACCGAAGTTCTTTATAGTCCAAATTTTCATCTTTAGCCGGGACATCACGGGAAATCCTGAAATCCTCAATCTTTACAGCTTCACCTACTTGGTTGAAGTGTTGTGAACTAGCTTCAAGCTGATTACACAGCACAGCTTCAGCTTTCAGATTGTTACTTCTGTCATCTTCCTCGCATTTACAATTGCATACTGACCAGGTTGAAGTAGTGTTAACTTGTTGGTCGTCTGTCATCTCTTCTTTGATATCAATCTCATCAAACCTTTCTGTTTTTTGAAGTGACATTCCTGATAAAAATTGTTGTATAAATATTATTTATGTCTTAAGCGAACAGAATTAAATATAACAAGATTATTTACTACAATTTGTAACGACTCAATCATGAAAAATACCAAATAAATTATATAATCAAATTTGATTTAGCAAGTAACCAAAAACAAAGTACACTCTTAAGTTTGCAATATCGGTCAAATATTTTTTTGTGATAACCAACAAAATTTTGAATGTTATCGACAATAATTGAAATTATCAGCGATAAAATGAAATAAAACTGCTTGCACTGATTTAAATAAGAATTTTTTTCCTTTTTCATATAATTCATTGGTTGCAAGATTTTATAACATTGTCTAAATTAGGTCGACTAAGTTAATAACTAAGTCAATAAAAGGTATCATTCCATGTGAAAAAAATTATGAGTTAATTTAGGGCCAAAGTCAAACCTCGATTTATTTACGAATTCGTACTTGGGTCATCAATTCATATTTTAATTGATAGCAGTGGCAGACGCTCCTACTAAATCGCTCGCCCAAATTTTAAGAAAATTATTGTGAAAAGGCTCTTTGGGCATGAAAGTGATCTAGATCGGTTTATTTTTGGACGCTGATTCCGAATCACCCCCCATGACGTAGGGTTAAAATGCTTCCCTGGATAGCTATGGGAAAAACCGTTTTGGTCACGTGACAGGCTAGTAAAACGTGAATTCGATTATTTAGGGCTCAGGTTAGGGTTAGGGTTGTGGTTAAGATTATGGATAGCTTCGGGGTTATGGTTAGGGTTAGGGTTTATGTAAAACCGTTTTGTACGGTTGCAAAACCAAAAAACTAAAGTCACGTGAAATTTTTGGGCGAGCGATTTAGTAAGAGCCAGTGGCAGAAGATAATCAGATTTTCAAAATCTGATAAAAATATTCAATTTAGGCTTGCGTCTCAAAATTCAACCTTGTCGTCATTGTCAAATAAAATCCCAACTTTCCATATTAGTAGTACAAAACTAAATGAAAGAGTTTGTCAACGAAAAAGTGGAAAATATTTACTCTGCCATTAAAAATCATGCTGCAGATAAATGACATTCTACTTAAACATTCAGGACCATTTCACTTGAATTTTCCTAAAATTTGGGCGAGCGATATTGTACGGGCCGTTCCCCTGGCTTATGCAGGTCTAGTTTACACACACATATATATATATATATATATATATAGTTTGTAGTAGGAGCGGCAGCTAGCACGTGACACAATGCAGCCAATCAGAGTGCAGAAATTTGCAAAGTTAAAGTGTATCATGTTCATTAACGAATAAAGATTATGCAATTAACCGAAATGACATAGGCTGAGCGTGGCCCAGTAACCAATCAAAGTGCTCAGTGCAGAAATCTGCCAAGTTAGAGTTTCAAATTTTTGATCGGGCCAAAAATCACTATTCTGGAAATTTTAAAATAACTCATAATAAAATAAGTTACTCTTTACGTTTTCTTAAAAGGGAAACGTTTATATTTTTTAAAGGCGCGGCGAACATTCCGCAAAAAACCTTACCTGGGGACCTCAGGCTATCATGTTCATAAACATAAAAGAATAGAGATCAGGTGGAATGACAGGCTGAGCGCGGCCCAGTAAAATAAACCGGAAGCTCACTATGTCTTTTAATTTTGTAGTTAGCCCCAGCCCTGGCCAATAAAGTTTTTTGGGAGGACGCGGACGTCACCACACCGACATTCGACACTGGACACACCACGCGAATTATTATTTTACCTATGGTGCGCTTTCACATATTATGTTCACAAACAGAGATTCGGCGGAATGAACATGACAGGCTGATTTTTGCTTCGCGTATATAATATTCAAGATCGTTGCTAGCTCTGCTTCGCCGCGCTTACGAAAAGCAACGATAGCTCAGTAGATTGACATCGTCAATTATTATATTACGGGTATAATTTGTTATCACAATGCTGGCAAGCATTACCGTCGCCCTTATATTATATTCACAATACTATTTGAGTATTTACCCCCTATACTATTATATCCCCTTTATTGTTTTCCAGGCATTAAGATTCATCGAAAGTAATTCAGCAGGTATATTTAAGTTCAAAACATTCTAATTCAATGTTAAAGATGACAGGAATAAAAAATAGTTATGTGGAGGTTTTTAAGAAATTTGCGCAAAATACGCGCCAGCATGTTATACGAAATTAGGTAAAAAACCCAAAATCGCCATATTCAGGTGCCTTAAAAACCGTGTTAAAATTGAGTTAGAGATCTGAAACTTTGCAGAGCGTCTAGACCTTGCCGGCAAGTGGGTTTTCTGGAACCCCTGTTTTACAACAGATTGTCGTGAAGCATATATATATAATATATATGATGTATAGACGCTTTGGCAGTCAATTGTAGCCTACATTTAAGTGTCCGTAGATCCAAAAGTATAAACGATACAGTCATCTCGAACCACAGGTTTTAAAGATAATCGTTTAAACTTCAGTTTACATTGTATTGAAAAATAATTTAACGTCATCATAATCACTTGATGACGTCATCAAGTTAAGTGTTTTTAAAACTTGGTTTTTAACAAAATAACAACTTTTCAAATCGATTTTAAACCATTAAGGAGTAATTTTATTCAAAATCTGAGGATATTTTCATCTTAGATAATTGTTCAAGCATTCTGAAAATCTACCGGAAAATTTTCTTACCTTGCTCCTTCATAAAGATATTCGCTATTGAAGTTAGTGCTTTTTTGATGAATAATTTTATAAAAATACAAAAGTTGTGAATTAGTATTCTCTGGTGTTGGGCCATCCTTTGGGTTGTGGAGCTCGACTGTGCTTCCTAAAGGTCTAAATTGTGTTATAGGCTAGTTTTAAAGTTGAAAATCGAAAAGTTGCACACGTGGGGACACGCCCAAATTGATA